TTTATACAAGAATAAAAAGAAAGTTTTGAGTTAGTTCTTAAACTACTAGACCACTGTTAGTTATTTAAACTAAGCGGCCAAATAATTGGTGAAACAGGTTTCCCGCCAATGGCATAAACTGCACGTGCATGTTAGCTGTATAAATGCGTTCGTCTGCAGGGTATAACCACACGTGATGAAAGCATACAAAAGAAATGACCGTGACAGGAGCAGAGAAATTAGCCATCGGTATGGCCGAAATAGGGGCAACACAGGTCCAAATTGCCAGAAGGTTTGGTTGTACAACATTGACACTAGCCAGGCTGATTCAACGGTACAGGCAGACAGGGAGGACACAGGACAGGCCTAGAACCGGACGACCCCGAGTGACAACACCACTGGAAGACGGTCAGATACGGCTCATTCACCCGCGAAACAGATTCGTAACGGCGGCGGCGACGGCAGCAACCGCGTTGGGACATCCCATTAGCCAACGTGCAGTACTACGACGACTTCGTGCTGCTGGAATCCGAGCGTATCGTCCTTTCCGAGGAATGGTACTGACTGCTCAACATCGACGCCTGAGACTGAGATGGGCGAGGCAGGTTCGACGCTGGCAAGTGAGAAATTAGCGTCGAGTGCTGTTTACTGATGAAAGTTGGTTTAACTTGTTTCGAAATGACGGCAGAGAACGAATATATCAACGCAGAGGGGAACGTTTGGCTCCGGCGTGTATTCGAGAGGTCCATCCATTCGGCGGGGGAGGTGTCATGGTGTTGGGCGGTATTTGTGGAGATCAGGAGACTGATTTGGTGATTATACAGGGGAAACCTGAACGCTGTGCAGTACAGAGACCAATTGTTGCAGCCAGTTGTGCTTCCGTTCTTACAAAACAAACAGCAGGTGACATTGTTTCAACAATGGGGACAAATCTCCCATATTGTAAAATATTCTTATAGAATCTATCATGTACATTAATAACATCTTGAGACGGTGAAAGCCCCATATCTCCGAGCAGTAGAGAAGAACAGGTAGTATTTTGACATCAAATATCTGTAAAAGTACATAAAGAAGTTTCATAAAATCCTTTGAGCCTTATTTTCAAGCGAGACGATATTTCGGCGCTTGAAGTGCTCGTGTCTTCTGTGTAAAGTACCAACTACAAAGGCTGATGAAAGATGAACACCTAATTACTTATTATTATTACAAGCAGGAACAATTTCTATAATGTCAGTGCCAAACCAAAACTTTCCATATCTTCGAAGACGACCTCTACGCCTAAAGACTATAACTTTACTTTAGCTTACAGTAGTGGACAATTTCCATTTATTACAATAAATCTTCTTTTTGTCGAGGTGTCTTTGCAACCCCACGACTGTACTATCGAATAAGACCATATCATCTGCAAACATTAGAATAAAAAGTTCAATCATTCCTAGTTGGATATTCCGTTGCCCGTCTGAATTAAGAAAATCGACAATATCATTTACAAAGAATGAAAACAGAAAAGGAGATAACTCACATCCCTGTCGTACACCTGACCTGCAATGAAAAAGGTCTGTTTTGCCACCATTAACAAATATACAAGATTTGATATTTTCATACATATTTTAAGTATTCTAAATATTTTACCATTAACGTTACCTATACAGAGTTTGTAAAACAAACTTGTCCTACACATTGAATCGAACGCTAACTTATGATCTACGAACGCACAATAGCATCTACTTTTATGTAACAATACGTATTCTTCAATAAAAGCATTGATAACATTAACATTATCAGATGTTCTAAATCCCTTTCTAAACCGAGCCTGCTCAAGTACTAAAAAACTATCTTGATCCGCCCAATCGTTTAAACGTTTCCACATAATTTTAGCAAATATATTCCCTGAACACTCAAGTAAAGAGATAGGTCTATAATCAGAAGAGTTGTTTCTACTGCCCTTTTTAAGAGATACATAATTACATCTAGTGACCAGGCTTTAGGATAAACACCACTATTTAAAATGAGATTAAATAGTGAAAGTAACATTTCATATGGTAGGAGAATTAAAAACAATTCTATCACAATTCCACTATAACCAGGTGATTTACCATTTTTTTATATCATTTATAGCATCAACTATTTCACTGTGAGTAATATCTATATCAAGTTCACTGTTTATATCACTATTATCTTCAATAGAAGAATCAGACAAGGATAACACAAAAAAGGTTTATGTAATTATCAAAGTCTTGCCGCTCTTCGTATAGAAAGTTATTATTGAACACAATCTTAAAATGATTCACAAAGTCAGATGGTTTTATGTTATCCAAACAAAGTTTTTTTCATCCTTTCAATAATTTCCAAAAGTCCACATGTTGAGTTTTAATGCTGTTTTTAATCTGTCACAATATGTATTTAAAGCATGTTTTGACTTCTGGTTGCAGAGGTGTTTATAGTAGTTCCATGACTCGATGTATTCACGCCGTGCACGAGCGTTGTTGGCAGCATGAAATACACAGCTCGTATCTTGCATGTGACCTTGCGTTTCGGCATTCGTCGTCATGCCAGTTGCTTCCCTTCGCAGAATTTGACGTTTTCGATTTTATCTTACAGTCATTTACACAAGTTAATAACTTATTTTGAAATTCTTCATATACACTGTCTACATAACCAGAAAGTTCAGTTTGGTTGTTATCAGCATTCCAGTTACCTGCATATTTTTCATTAAAGTTCTGTCGTCAGGTATATCTAACTCTTGGAAACACAATAGATCTTCAGCAACCCATGATGCCGTGAACAGCGACGTAAGAGGCGACTAACGGGATCGGGTGGGCAGGCTCGCTGACTTGGTTGATGCATATCATCCTATCCCAATTGCGTGGACCGATGCTCATGTTGTCAATCACTGGATTGTCTTGTCCAGACCCGATTATGTACAGACGGCCGTTATTTAGCTGGCATATTGTTGAGTGCGGCGTTAAACAACAAACAAACAAAATAGTATTCTATTAAATTCAATTTTGTTTCAATAGTACTGTGGTTTTACACATATTTGGTTTCTTTTATGTCTGAAAATTTTTGTGTTTTGAGAATTATATATGAAATCATATCTTCTCTATCAGGAAAGATTGAGTCTTGATATCAATTTTATATTATGAGGTCACTTTTCCATCAGTTGCACATTTTAAGACTTAATAAGAATCTGTGTGTGTGATAACTTCCCTAACAATTTTTAAAAGTGTTGCCCAGGTCATACATTATGTAGATCCTGTTGGCCATAAAGGGCTTTCATCATACCTCTCCCTTTACTATCTCTGTGTAGGGATTATTATTTGAGAGAACATCGATACAATACAATGCCATGCATATATCAACAGAAATGTTAAAACTTGAACTTGACATCTGAATTGCCTGATGGCTTTACAAAAAGTAACCCGTCTATATGTCTCTCTGCTAATAAAGAGGGGCGGTGGGTTAGGCTGGTGGTTAAAGAATTCGCTCGTCACGCCGAAGACCCGGGTGCGGTGAAATCTGATTAAACGTTGCGTTTTATGGTGCACTCACATAGCCACGTGCATGGAGTTTCTGTGTGTGTGGCTGCGTGTACTAGTTGTGACTGATGCCGATTTCATAGTGCTACTCCACTACGATAATGTCCCGCAGTATAACATGGATACTCCCATCAGGCATAGTATACTGACTCCGAGCCAACCAGTCTCTATTTTATCCTGCGCCAGGCAAGGTAACAACAAGTTCCATCTTTGGTATCGAACCACCGACTTTTCTCTCTGTTGTCGGACGCTCTATCCACTAATCCACGGAGGCGGTCCTATCAAGGGTGATGATACCAGCCGACAAAGTGAGCGTATCCTGCACCCGTCACAAACACATGCAAAGTTAAATCAAGTTGTGTGATATGTGGATGATCATCATTAAAGAGCTTGGTGTCTTGTAATTATATAAGTTGCAGTGTTGTGGTAACATTAATAATTTTCTGTTTCATTAAAGTGCTCAAAAAACCTCATACAAGTTTTTTACTTCTTAATTAAATAATTCCATTTTATTATAGACCTTCACAGGAATTTAACAAATAGGACAATGTCGCTTTCCAATATGATGTTCGATGCTGTCCCACACTATTACCTTTCCATGGACATTTCATACTGGCAGTTTATTAATGAAAATTGTATGAGTTTTGGATACTACAGCAAGAACAGGAAGTGTCTAATCTTTTTGTCGTCAACCCGTTGTCCTCATTTATTTTCCATTTACATAATATTTTATACAACTTTGCCTTTTACGTTCTGTGGAATCTGTTACAGCAGATATTCCAGTCTTATATTGTCTGACGTTTTGAACGCACGTGGAAGGAAGACTCGGGAACCCAGCAGTCTAATTAAAAACGTCAATTCGTTGGTGCAATATCTTTATTCGTATGTCCACTCGCGAATCAGTGTACAGTTACAGTCACGACGTCAGGTGTATCACATACTCGTTGGTGACAGGAACCAATTTGTATGGCCAAGACACGGCATCTTTACCCATATCACACGGGGTATGAGAACCAGCGCTCTATCTAAACTTAAGGAATATCCCCCCTTAGTCGTATTCCACCCTCAGCCAAAAGTTGAAAACTGAACATAAGAGCGTTCTGTAAGGTCAAATAGGTGACCGAGGAGGTATGGCAGTACTTTCCACTGGCTATGCAAAGTCTCTTCGGTTCAAATGTTTATGTCATTGAAGCGAGATAAAGACGATAAGTTTGAGGGAATCAGTCGTACAGCTCGCAACAGTCGTTCGGAACGCCCCTTGTTAACATTTTCGTGGCTGTATGATTAGAAAACACACACTGCCACTTTCCTGATCTGGTAAGCGAGGCCCCGATTGGTCGGCTAAAAGTCGTTCTGATGTGATGTCCTCAGATCTTTGTTTAGCGCTGTCAAGAACTCAAATCTGACTTTAACCAGATTGGCTTAGTACCATAGGTCACAAAAATGGTCATATGTCAAAACAATGATCATACGTCACAACAATGGTGATTCCAGTACATTTTATTTTCAATAACTACAAACACCAGAATGTCTTTCAGTAGAGAACTCGAAGCACAAGTTTGGCCCCTTTCATGTTCAGCAATCCACAGAAAAAAAGAAAGATTCACTGTCAAATAACATTGACACCCATTTGTATCCTTCTTTCACTGGTACCTTAGGATAACGATATATAATTTTATTATTATTTATTATTTATTTATCAACTATAAAGTCCACTCATTGGTCAGTTAATCTGTTACTCAAGGGTCCACGAACAAACACACAGTACTCTCCGAACCAACTGCCATCTTAACCATCTTTTAAGAACGTCTGCATTTTCAACAAAATATCGTTTTTGGCCAAGAAAGATAAAAAAAGAAATAATTCAGGCTGGCCTTCTTAATCTTTGTTGTATAATATTCATGCGGTAATACAACCAGACCATTACACTTGCAACCTGTCCCTTCATGAAACCGACCATCGACTACCAAGAATGCTTATCCCAGAACAGATAGCAACAGAGTGTAATGCTAATGATCAGTCGGTTAAAGCATCAGTTTATACAGGTGGAAAGTGTAGTTTATACGGAAAGAGTCTGTACCAGTGACATGCGCAAGTGCCCGCCACGCCGCCATGAAAAACGGAACAATGTGAGCTACAGTGGCAGTGGGCACAGTCAGCATTGTTGATGCAGGATCCGCTGCATGTCTGCGCCTTGGCTACATCAGCTGAAGTATACAGAAAGGTAGGTAGGTACACGGAGGTAGGTACATGTACATGTATGTCTCTTGTTAGGTAGGTATCGCATCGTGTCATCGCAGCGTGCCTTCGTGACTTGTACTATCGCCCTCATATAAATCACGCTATGATACAAAGAAACGAAATCACAGAAATTAGCGAAAGATTAACATGTCCAGATTCTCATGTCTCTCGCAATGATTCAAAGTCGATTTACGTTTACCTTAGGTAGGTAGGTAGGTAGGTAGGTAGGTAGGTAGGTAGGTAGGTAGGTAGGTAGGTAGGTAGGAAGGAAGGTAGGTAGGTAGGTAGGTAGGTAGGTAGGTAGGTACAAGTACATGTATGTCTCTAGTTAGGTAGGTATCGCATCGCAGCGTGCCTTCGGGACTTGTACTATCGCCCTCATATAAATCACGCTATGATACAAAGTGAGTAAGTGAGTGAGTATGTTTTACTCCGCTATTAGCAATATTCCAGCAATATCACGGCGGGGGACACCAGAAATAGGTTTCACACATTGTACCAATGTCGGGAATCGAACCCGGGTCTTCGACGTGACAAGCGAACGCTTTATCCACTAGGCTCCCCGACCGCCCCTCTATGGTACAAAGAAACGAAATCACAGAAATCAGCGAAAGATTAACATGTCCAGATTCTAATGTCTCTCGCAATAATTCAATGGTCGATTTACGTTTACCTTAGGTAGGTAGGTAGGTAGGTAGGTAGGTAGGTAGGTAGGTAGGTAGGTAGGTGGGTGGGTGGGTGGGTAGGTAGGTAGGTGGGTGGGTGGGTGGGTGGGTAGGTGGGTGGGTGGGTGGGTGGGTAGGTAGGTAGGTAGGTAGGTAGGTATCCAAAATAGATAAATAGATGGTGATACATACAAATAGTTGGATAGATACACACACATAGATACGATCACAAGACACAATCAGACATAACGAGACATATAGACAGACATATTAACATACAGACAGACACACAAACATTCACAGAGATTGAACTGCAGACCAAACTACTCACTAACAGCTCCGAGGAGGAGAATGGAGGCGAAAACGAGGAAGAACACAGCTCTCAAGTTGCACAGAACAGTCAATGCTGATGTTTGCAAACACCAGTTGTTTATATACATACCCTAATCCGTCACTGCTCATGGCACGTGTTGGTTCCCACTGCAGTGACCAATCCTGTGCACGACACAGGGCTAAATTTGGGCCCTAAGATCGGTGCAAACAGCTCATTTAAAAATGAAGTTTCATTTACATCAGAATTACGTACGTTTATAAAACACGAATTGTCACCCTGTCAGATTATTTCTTTGGCAATCAGTAACTGTATTCTGGAGAATACAGAGAGTCGAAGGTTTTAATTGTTTTCGTCGTGTTTCTCAGCTTAATACATGTGGGATGACATGTCGTATATATACTAAAACTACCGGGCATAAGAAAGTTTTCCCTTTTAAAATAGTTGTATAAAAAGCAAAAAAGCTGGTACAGATTTGAACCCCCGCAGAAAACATTCGCCCAAATGCAACATGACCACAACGCAGATTTTCGAACACAGCTTTCCAATTCATGCATTGTTGAAAACGTGCAAAACGTGATTTTGAGACATTGGTCCAAAGTCACGTGCGTGATTGTGGCATAAATACCGACGTTGGACAGAGCAGGCATTCAGTAAGCAAAATACCACCAAGAATATGCCCAGACTTACACAAGCGCAACGAGACAGAGCGATCGGTATGGCCAATATGGGGCTACTCAACGTCAGATAGCCAGATCCTTCAACTGCTCCCAGACCACCATCAGCAAGTTGATAATCCGCTACCAACAGATAGGACAGACTCAAGACCGGCCAAGATCGGGAAGACCGAGAGTGACAACACCGACCGAAGACCGCTACATCTGGCAGATTCACCTCCGAAACAGATGTGTGACGGCGACGTCAACGGCGGCAACAGCACTAGGGCATGCCATCAGCAGACGAACAGTCCTTTGACGACTTCGTACGGCTGGTATACGAGCCTACCGACCCTTCCGTGGAATGGCCTTGACCCGTCTACACCGTCAACGCAGACTGCAATGGGCACGAACTGCACGTCGGCGGCAGCGACGTGACTGGGCGAGAGTGCTCTTTACAGATGAGAGTCGGTTCTGTCTGTTCAGGAACGATGGCAGAGTTCGTGTTTTTCGACGAAGGGGAGAGCGACTGGCGCCAAACTGCATCAGAGAAGTTCACCCGTTTGGAGGTGGAGAGGTGTCATTTGTGGCCAGATTACAACACGGCTGGATATTAGCCGAGGGAACCTGAATGCTCAGCGATACAGGGATACAGTGTTGAGACCTGTTGTGGTGCCCTTTATTCAACATCAGCCAAGATGATTAATTTTGCATCAAGACAACGCAAGGCCTCACACCGCCCGAATTGTTCAAGACTACCTGAACAACGTTAACGTCAACGTATTGCCCTGGCCACCTTGTTCTCTAGACAAGAACCCCATTGAACATCTCTGGGATCATCTTGATCGTCAGCTGAGACCGAGAGGAACTTAAACAGACTCTAATGGACTTATGGAGCAGGATTCCTGTTGACGTTATCCGCCGACTGACGACGTCAATGAGGAGGCGTGTGTTGGCGTGCATGGATGCCCAGGGTGGTCACACTCGCTATTGATGACGTGTTACCTGACTATTGTGTCATTAATGGACTATTCATGCACTTTTTCAATGAACTCTGATTTGTGTAATTTTTAATTTGGATCCCTTCTCTATTTCTTTGTGTATTGCGTAGAATGCAATATCGGCATTACAATGCATTTTCATTCTAATTCATGGAAATGGTTTCTGTTTATAAATTAATCATCATAAATCTCATATATACCTTTGTTTTTGGTGTTTGGTCAAGTGAAGTCGGTGAAAACTTTCCTTTGCCCGGTAGTTTTAGTATGTAATGTAAAATATTAGTCAACACAATGTCTCGTGCATAGACGGTTACATATTTTCTCAAATAAGCGCTGAATAGAGATAAAAAACTGTTGGGCTTATTTCCTAACCATTTAATTTTATATTTATTTAATTTGTATTTTATCCTGTGTATAACATATATCTTATCACATTAAGCAGAATGTCAGGGCCGAATCGTGATGCCTTATGTTTTGCATCGTGATGCCTTATCTCTGGCGTCGTGATATGCCTTATCGAGATGCCTTATTGCGTCGTGGTGCTGTTCTGGGTACAACTATACATTTGACGGGAATCATGCAATCTCAGACACAGAAATAATTGTCAATCACGTGACACATGTAATTGCATAAATACTACGAGCCCTTCAGATGAGTTTCCAAACATCTCATCCACTATGAAGGCTGTGTGTCTGCTTCTCCTCGTCTCTGTCCTGCTCGTCGGAGCAGCCTTTGTCGGTGAGTATTTACATCTCCCGAGGTTTCACTGGGTTTGTAAGGCGCCGAATTGGTAAGGGCTCAGTCACACATTCAGGAGTTCTACTGCCGTCCTTGAAAGGACCATTCCCGATTCAAATTTGTCAAAAGTCTGATCAAGAAATTCGTGGCAGGTAATTCAAAATCTGATGTTGTTCAGGAAACGTCCCGATTCATCCGTTTCCAGCCGAATTCGTCCCGATTGTCCCGTTCTCAGTCCGAATTGAGGTTGTCATGGACGTTGGGATGATGACTGACACCCATATCAATGATAATACATTCAATATTTAGCCATATCTTATGATGAACACGAACATTTCCGATAAAATCAGCTTCTTGTATCCACAAATGGTTGTTATGTGAACAATAGAGGTAATCATTGGTGGAATACGTATACAGTAAACTAAACACGAAATCACAAAGGGATCACTATTTTAATACGTTATAACCGCAGTTCGTTATAAGCATATGTACAAAATATAAACAACAAATGGACAGGATCAAGAAATAGTTGGTTATATCCGTCAGTTCGTTATAAGTGTGTTCGTTATCAGTTAACTGTAGTTGATTTCGATGAAGTCCAATATGCATGATATCCGACGACTTCATATGTATAGTTGACTGAGGGGTATGGGAATAGTTTAGTGGGTAGTGTGTTCTGCTGTCACGAAGAAGCACTGCGTTCGAATCTCAAACTGGTCTAACCTGTCTTGATAATCCAATTGTTGACACTATTTGCAGGTGCTCAGTAGAAATTGCATATTCTTTCTTGCACAAGCATATCTTGTTACATGTTACGATTCCAAAATTGAAACAATATGTTAACCCATGAATCTGTACGTAAAATAACCTAGTGTAAAACCAACAAACAACCAACAAGCTGTATACAATTACCAAAAGTGTTACAAAAATTAACTAGGTTACAAATCAATACAAAGTACTGCACATCACTTACAATGCCAGTACACAATAGAGTGGTAGTACACTATTAAATGGCAATAAATAGTGATGGCAGTACACAATAGAGTGGTAGTACACTATTAAATGGCAATAAATAGTGATGCCAGTACACAATAGAGTGGTAGTACACTATTAAATGGCAATAAATAGTGATGCCAGTACACAATAGAGTGGTAGTACACTATTAAATGGCAATAAATAGTGATGCCAGTACACAATAGAGTGGTAGTACAATATTAAATGGCAATAAATAGTGATGCCAGTGCACAATAGAGTGGTAGTACACTATTAAATGGCAATAAATAGTGATGCCAGTACACAATAGAGTGGTAGTACAATATTAAATGGCAATAAATAGTGATGGCAGTGCACAATAGAGTGGTAGTACAATATTAAATGGCAATAAATAGTGATGGCAGTGCACAATAGAGTGGTAGTACAATATTTTAATGGCAATAAATAGTGATGCCAGTACACAATAGAGTGGTAGTACACTATTAAATGGCAATAAATAGTGATGGCAGTACACAATAGAGTGGTAGTACACTATTAAATGGCAATAAATAGTGATGGCAGTGCACAATAGAGTGGTAGTACACTAATAAATGGCAATAAATAGTGATGCCAGTACACAATAGAGTGGTAGTACAATATTAAATGGCAATAAATAGTGATGGCAGTACACAATAGAGTGGTAGTACACTATTAAATGGCAATAAATAGTGATGGCAGTGCACAATAGAGTGGTAGTACACTATTAAATGGCAATAAATAGTGATGGCAGTGCACAATAGAGTGGTAGTACAATATTAAATGGCAATAAATAGTGATGGCAGTGCACAATAGAGTGGTAGTACAATATTAAATGGCAATAAATAGTGATGGCAGTACACAATAGAGTGGTAGTACACTATTAAATGGCAATAAATAGTGATGGCAGTGCACAATAGAGTGGTAGTACACTATTAAATGGCAATAAATAGTGATGGCAGTGCACAATAGAGTGGTAGTACAATATTAAATGGCAATAAATAGTGATGGCAGTGCACAATAGAGTGGTAGTACAATATTAAATGGCAATAAATAGTGATGGCAGTGCACAATAGAGTGGTAGTACACTATTAAATGGCAATAAATAGTGATGCCAGTACACAATAGAGTGGTAGAACACTATTAAATGGCAATAAATAGTGATGCCAGTACACAATAGAGTGGTAGAACACTATTAAATGGCAATAAATAGTGATGCCAGTACACAATAGAGTGGTAGAACACTATTAAATGGCAATAAATAGTGATGGCAGTGGGCAGTACGAAATGCAAAAATACAGTGGTGACAGCAAGAGTCAGTGATAACAATATATATATTCACCCAGTGGCGACAAAGGTCAATCGTAAGAGATAAGATAAGTTAAGACTCTATTATCCCAAGGGAAATTCATATTGCAGAGTTGATTAGCACTAAAAAATGAAACGGAAAATATAGGATATTAAAAAATGTGAACAAGAAAATAGGAGATGGCTAGATAGGGAACCGGGTATGATGAGAGCTGGTTCCGATGTGATGAAAAGGCGTGAGAGATGAAAAAACCCTTTCCATAGCCAAAATGTCTCTGCATAAAAGCAGAGTCGATTGTACGATTCCGACAAAATCATGAGCATGTGTTTATGAATCACTATGAAATAGTAATGATACCAGGTGTTCGCGAAAAGGTGAGCGCATCCTGTCCCACCGGTGGCATCCGTCATTAACACATGCAAAGCCAAGTCAATTGTACACCTGAAAAAACACGGAAACATATGGTACAAGTCAAAACAGGGACTTACATCGGACATCATAACCTAATATGTCTAAAATATCTATAACGTGCCCTCATCGCATAGAACATTACAGAAATATCAGTAACAAACTATCACCGCCCGCGGTATATCGGAGCGGACGTTTACATACCACACTAGTATCTGAATATAGTAACTTCCTGACGACTGATTACTGTCCCAACACAATGCAATGAGCGTCTACCGAATCCAAACAGAAACAAGGCAACCCAGCTACAATTAAACAACAAAATACACTGCCATCTTACAAATCTTGTTCATCCTTCGTTGTAGCCGACGCTCAAACATGCAACGGCGAGTGTAACAACAACAGCGACTGTAACCACTGCCACTCCTGTACCTACCATTGTAACAAGAGTTCCGGCGCCGTCGTTGGACATTGTACTTGTTCCTAGTAAGTATCATTCAACAGATGGATCTTAAATACTCAAAGCGATTTTCAGCTAGGGTGAAAATAACTCTGAATATTTCACTTAAACGTAGACTGATATGCAAAATGGTCATTTTGAGCCACTTTCATTATTCTTACACGTAAGGAATAAATGAAATGGCTATTCGGCAAGGATTGAAGAATAATGTCTTTGGTTGTATTGTAGAAATGTAATCTAATTAGTATAGCTATTTTAGCATGCACCTTGAATAATAATTAAGAGATATATTTCATATACATTCTCGAATTCCACACGGACTTTCATTTACAGGCGTATAAGCTGTTCCCAAAACATATTTCGCTATCTAGATCTAGAGACGATATATATTATTCCGCATTAACGATGTGCTTCAAATTGGCATCGGTAAATGATTAGATTAATAGCAAGATTGTCTTGTTTAAGGTAATGAAAATGTTTTAAAGAATTAATGATACATGTATGTTGCGTTTGTTTCAGAACCCCAAGCAGGATCGTCCACAATGTTGCTGATTATTGAATAAAATGGAAATGGTTTCTGCACATTTGTATTATATTTCTTGCACCACATAGATCATATAGCCTAACTTACTAAATATCAGGTATTGTTCTCATTTTGATGGTGTTTTATTCTGCAAATAATAGCTATCGGCGACCATGGTGAATATTTACGTTAATAGGCTCAAGCTGAGTCATGTAAATATAAAATGTCAACGCCAGGGGACAACCAGTCTCGTCTATCTGCCGAAACAGATTCCTTTTGTCAGTGACGACACCAGGTGTTCGCGAACACCTCCTATATCAGTAGGGCCAACGTGGCCTGGTCGCCTTGAGCGCCGCAACTCAATGCACGGTGATGCGTCGCTATGGAGATAAAGATGATGATCCTTGGATTGTCAGTGCCACACCCGTTTTATGAAAGTGGTCCTCGACTTTGCCCTCCGGTACTTACTGTTATAGTTGTCATTATCCGAGCTGATTGAAATGGGTTTTTTTAGTTCAAAATCACTTACCCATTCACATAATTAAATATTCGCATTTCTGACAATTGCTGGTGAAGATAGCAAAAGTGAGCACAGAGTTGCGCCCCTCTGTGGTCAGACATTAAAAAATAGCTCGCGTACCATTGGAAGAGTACAGTGGTCACACCAGGTCTTATACACGTGGTCTATTTGTAATAGTCTTTTGGGACATAGGGGGTTATGTTATATTGTATAGGAAAATCATGCATTTGGGATTTTGTCTTCAATTGTCTGTGACAATTCATTTAGTACATGTGTTTTACACATTCCCGTTATGTTTTTATTTTTATTTTTATATTTTTAACGAAACCCCCAAATTCATAAATTCATATACTGGTTAACAAAGTTTGAAGGAAGACGCGTGACCTGAATAGTCTACATACACACATATATACAAATACATATACATGGAACTAGTGAACGAAAAATGCTTTCGAATGAGTATTCTAAACGTGTTTGTCCTGATATAACATTCTGAATAGCAAATTTTCTTTGTATTTGTAATAGTCGTCTGACAGGTGTATGGGACTTATGGGTAATTACGATATGTCCTTATGGGCGATTGAATGGAAAGTACATGCATTTCATTTCGACATTTTGTTAGTTTTCAGGTTTAGTTTTATGTAAACCCTGAAATACACGACATATGTTAGAACATTTACTGCAATAATGAGAGGGGTACACTGCCTCTCATCAAAAGCGGAATGGGGCTTGACCTACGGTCTGAATAAGCTACTATGCTAATAGTGAGTGAGTATGGTTTTACGCCGCTTTTAGCAATATTCCAGCAATATCACGGCGGGGGACACCAGAAATGGGCTTCACACATTGTACCCATGTCGGGAATCGAACCCGGGTCTTCGGCGTGACGAGCGAACGCTTTAACCACTAGGCTACCCGACCGCCCCAACTATGCTATATGTACTGTGGAAAGACATTGTTTTTAAAATTCAGTATATAAGGGAGATATTTGCATGGTAGTCAAAAACATCGTTTAAGATTTAAAACAGGAAATATATTGAAACCAGTAGTGTTCATAGTGTTTTAAACATGCCTGTGTTTATTGAATTTTTTGGGGGGGAATTATTTTATTGTAAATACGACGAACAAAGCCTTTGCCGTTGTGTTAATGCTCCGTATCAAACGATTTCTTTATATATTCTTTGATGACATGATGCGATTTCTATAGGCAATAGTATAGTCCTTGATGCCCTTATCACACCCCTCAACTGCATATGTCTAGTTTTTTAGAGTAATCTCCCTTGAGTATGCGATAAGGTGAATATGGGTTACCTCATGTTTCATTTCATATCATACCCAACATGGGCTCATATCACGTCATACTACATGGCAATAATCATTATATATACTAGGTAGAACGTTTGTAAAATGACATCACATTGTGTTGTTGGTTGGTTTGTTGTTTAACGCCGCACTCAGCAATATTCCAGCTATATGACGGCGGTCTGTAAACAATCGAGTCTGGACCAGACAATCCAGTGATAGACATCATGAGCATCGATCCACGCAATTGGGATTGATGACATGCATCAACCAAGTCAGCGAGCCTGACCACCCGATCCAGTTAGTCGCCTTTTACGACAAGCATAGCCGCCTGTTCGGGCAAGCATGGGTTGCTGAAGACCTATTCTACCCCGGATCTTCACGGGCCACATCACATTGTGACTCTGAGTGAGTGAGTGAGTGAGTATGTTTTGTTTTTTACGGCGCTTTTTAGCAATAATCTAGCATCATCACGGCGGGGGACACCAGAAAAGGGCTTCACACATTGTGACTTTGAACAATCCATATGAACTCCATTTTATAACACAATGACTACATCTGAAAATATTTTGATATATGTATTCATGATGTGAATACAAAGTGACTTTAAGCACATATGCTTGATGTGATTTGAACTTTTCATTTTAAACGCTATACTTAGTTTTCAAGACGCAACAGTTGTCAATTCGGTAAACATTTTATTAGCAATGAAAACATATCCAACATGTCTTTCAGCAGAGAGAACCGAACCGAAGCACAAAGTCTGCTTTCTTTCATGTCCAGTAATCTAAAACAGAAAAGAAATATTCCTTTAGATCTACAATATGACTTGTTCGATATAAATGACACCCGTATGTGTCATGCATTCATCCGTAGGTCAGGTTGGATAACGGTTTATCACAGTATATATTTGTCTAGCACAAATACGCTTAGACCATGGTATATCTTATCATTACCCCGGTCACTGGATCAGTGTGCACTCGATTTTCTTTCTCAGCCCTCTGTGGAGTATACAACCCACGCAGCCTCTCATTATCATCTCATCCTACCGGGTACCCACTCACTGCTGGGTGAACAGAGGCATCTTTCGAACAAAGTCACTTGCCTCACGAGACAGCGCTTGTCCTACATGTGCTTCAGTGTTGGGCAGGACCGAAGCCCTAGAAACTCACAAGAGTCACGCCGCCGAACACTGTCACCCATCCAACTACTCTCCGTGACCGACGTTGCTTAACTTCACCTGATTTCTTACCTGAACATAGGATCACGTCAGTTTTTAAGGTCCCCTCCCTGGGTTGGTGAGGTGAAATGGGGTTTAACGTCGCGTCCAAGACGCACTTATTGCACTTATATAGCTACGTGCATGTACGTGTGTGTGTTTGTGTGGCTGCTTCTACTAGTCCGGACTGATGCCGATTTATAGTGCTAGCTCACTGAGATACCATGCCGCAGTATAACATGAATACCCCACTCAGACACAGTATACTGACTCCGAGCCGACCAGTCCTTGTTTTAGCCCCTTAATGCCGTGCGCCAGAGAGGGTAACAACAAGTACCATCTTTTAACGTCTTTTGGTATGACGCGCCCGGAGATCGAACCCCTTACCTTCCGCTCTCCGGGCGGACGCTCTACCACTAGACCACGGAGGCGGTCCTCCCCTCCCAGGTTAAAGGTGTAATACCCAAAGCGCCACAAAAAAGCACACCATATTTTTGGAACCAATCAGGCTTATTGGTGGACACACGCCTTTCAACAAAATATCACCACAATCTTAGTTTTTCGAAACAACAATCGAGAGAAAAGAAATCGAATAAGATTTTTCAGTAGTAGATAGCAGCACAATGTTATTGTTAGGCTCAGACGGATAAAGCATACCTCTAGACTTGTGAAACGTGTAGTTAACACTACAGATTGCGTACCAGTGACGGCCCGAGAAGATCTGGGTTAGAATAGGTCTTCAGCAACCCATGCTTGCCGGAACAGGCAACTATGCTTGTCATAAGAGGCGACTATTGGGATCGGGTGGTCAGGCTCACTGACTTGGTTGATGAATGTTATTGTATCCCAATTGCGTAGATCGAAGCGCATTATGTCAATCATTGGATTGTCTGGTTCATATTTGATTATTTACAGACTGCCGCCAAACAGCTGGAATAGTATTGAGCGCTGTGTTAAACAACAAGCAAACAAACGTACCAGGGACATGCGCAATGACCCTCAAAGCTTCCGGGAGTATGAAGTCGCCGTTGCTAGAGCAGGATCCGCTACATATCTGCGCTTCGGCTACATCGGCTGAAGAAGACACAAAGATAGGTAGGTATAAATTAGTTGAGTATGTCAGAAAGTAGGCAGCAAGGTGAAAAGGCTGGAAGGGAGATCGAGCGCTAGTTAGTTGGACAGACAGTACAGGTCCAACAGTATCAGTGCCGATCGACAATATTAGCATAGGACGACATAGTGAGTGAGTGAGTATGGTTTTACGCCGCTTTTAGCAATATTCCAGCAATATCACGGCGGGGGACACCAGAAATGGGCTTCACACATTGTACCCATGTCGGGATTCGAACCCGGGTCTTCGGCGTGACGAGCGAACGCTTTAACCACTAGGCTACCCGACCGCCCCTAGGACGACATAAATTTCCACAGTTGTGTGAGCTTGCGTGCGTAAAGCTTCGTGATAACACTTGTGACGAAATACTACTACGCGAAATGATTTTTTATGTCAGTAGGAACTGTTGTAGATTTATTTGTAGTAATTGTTAGTGTCAGCAAATTATTAAACAACTGGTAAAAAACATCAAATTCTTCGTGGCCAGATCTCAGCCGCTGTCGACAACGAGTAAATCTTTCCTGATGGTTTTGTACGGGAATGTAGAGTTATCGACCCTTAGTTGTTTTCATAGACATGACAGGCTTGATCGTTTGAGAAGTTTCGGGATGGGACAGTTTCTAGAAGGCTGGCTGTACATATAAAAGAGCGACAAAAGGGCGATGATTCGAGGTCATTTTTCGGACCTGAATTGTTCTAATCTATCTGCCAAGTGCGGATCAAGGTTACATATCTGGAAACACCGGATTCCTCTAAGCTATCAACACAGTTAGGATTCAAGACACTCAACACTGACAATATCGTGAGTGCACCTACTTGTACATTGTTTCTAGGGCCTGTCACTTATTACTGATGTCACTAATGTGAACCATTGTATTGTCTTTTTTATTGTAAACCTGAAAATGTGTGTTTGAATATATTGATTATTCATTAACCTTGTGTGGTCATTTACATATTGTATAATTTATTGTACGATTCCTGGATTGACCTCTGCGTTTAATTTGAAAACTACCCCGGAAGAGCATGCAGTATTGACAGTGATCAAATCTGATTTGTATTGAGTTTCACAAACAACTGGAATCGTTACTAGTACTGCAGGTATTACAAGAGTTTTTCATTTCCATGGATTTTGTATCATTTCAGTTCCTTTTCTTTTCTTTTCTTTTTATTTACGAGGACTTTGTCTATGAACCAGCAGGACATGCTTACCCTCTTCGCGAACACCTTTGTCATCACTTATTTTCAGTGATCCATTCATATAGTTTTCACCACTATTTTACTTTTACGCCTGTGGAATCTGTTTCGGCAGATAATCGATTGTGATTATTCTCTCGCGTCGACGTTTTATATTAAATCGAAATATTATTTACTACTATATTGGCATACTTTGTAATACATATATTCTATTTTAGAATATTGGTTACTATTATTGATGTTACTATCAATAATCTTATACGGCTCAGTTCGATATAACTGTCGGGGGTAGATATAAAAAAGCAACAATAATGAATTGATAGATATTTGTGATACGGTATCGGGTCAGAGGATCATGTTTTAGAGGGACAAGCAGCAGTGAGAGTAGCGATGCAAACAACAATTTATCAAAATTCTCAAGACGATCACGACTTTGCAGGATAGTGAGTGAGTAAGTATGGTTTTACGCCGCTTTTAGCAATATTCGAGCAATATCACGGCGGGGGACACAAGAAATGGGCTCGGGAATCGAACCCGGGTCTTCGGCGTGATGAGCGAACGCTTTAACCACTAGGCTACCCGACCGCCCCTTTGGCACGATAGACAGGTTACTCAGACACAAGTATGAATGCACCAAAAGCATTGACGATGTTCATGTCATTCAGGAGATAAATTGTGTATGTTCAATGCAGAGCCAGGTTACCTGAAGGTTTAACCGCGCTAAATTGAATTTGGAACCGAGCGCGCAGCGTGAGCTTTCAAAATTACGCGGTAAGCGTACGGGTAACCTGGCTATACATTGAAAACACGGTATGATTTTCTCCATTCGACCATGACTAAATAATACGTGAACTCTTTGGTGTCAGCAAATATATTAAGTGAAACGGAATGGCTTGAGTCAAGTGTTTTGAGTGACAGACAACTGCCTTTAGACAAAATATGGCGCTTAAATACATCACTCGAACATATGTCAGGCATTGAAAGAATATAAGCACGGCAAGTCGGTTAGCTAACATGAAACGAAACAAGCTTTGCAAAGCTTCGTTCTACACCGCGCGCCACCATTAAGACGTGATATCACTAACTGTGACGCCACGTCACAGACGTGTATAGAATGGCGCCAAATAAATTAATACATTCTCTTTGAATATTTCTGTCGTGCTTTCCGCGCGAAATGCAATGCCACACATCCTATGAATATTGTAGTAACCGCAACTTTACATTTTTGAACCTATAATTGTTGATATAATTAGGGGAGGTTGGTCGCAAAAATGGCCATGAGAGGGGCACGAGTCGTTATTCGGCTTGTCCTGGAATAACACGTGTTGATCACGAATGCATAAATCTGCTGAATATACAGGAAAACCACAAAATAAAAAAAAGTACTGAATAACTATAATAACATTGCTGATACAATTTCTCAAGAAATGATGTAAAGGGTTACTGTTCTTCGATCTCAGGTTCACATGATTACAGATAAAGATTACTGAATTACACATCTGAAGAAAATATATATTTATAAAGAAAATCGAATTTCGTTAGCAAGGCCGAATCGTGATGCCTTATCTAATATCTCTTCCTTGGAACGACTAAACACAGGTCTGGATACATGCAAACTTAGCCCCCCAAAAGGGATAATCACGTGACACATGTAAATGTATAAGTACCACGAGCCCTTCAGATGAGTTTCCAACTATCTCATCCACCATGAAGGCTGTGTGTCTACTTCTCCTCGTCTCTGTCCTGCTCGTCGGAGCAGCCTTTGTCGGTGAGTATTTACATCTCCCAAGGTTTCACTGGGTTTGTAATGGTCCGAGTTGGTAAAGGATCGAGTTGTTATGTTGCCGGGTCAGTTAGAGGTTGAGTTGCTAAGAGACCGGTATTGTAGCGGACGGTGTTGGTAAGGGATCGAGTTGGTAAGAGACCGGTATTGTAGCGGACGGTTTTGCTGAGGGATCGAGTTGGTAAGAGACCGGTATTGTAGCGGACGGTGTTGGTAAGGGATCGAGTTGGTAAGAGACCGGTATTGTAGCGGACGGTTTTGCTGAGGGATCGAGTTGGTAAGAGACCGGTATTGTAGCGGACGGTGTTGGTAAGGGATCGAGTTGGTAAGAGACCGGTATTGTAGCGGACGGTTTTGCTGAGAGATCGAGTTGGTAAGAGGCCGGTATTGTAGCGGACGGTTTTGCTGAGAGATCGAGTTGGTAAGAGGCCGGTAATGTAGAGGACGATGTTGGTAAGGGATCGAGTTGGTAAGAGACCGGTATTGTAGGGGGCGGTTTTGCTGAGGGATCGAGTTGGTAAGAGACCGGTATTGTAGCGGACGGTGTTGCTGAGGGATCGAGTTGGTAAGAGGCCGGTATTGTAGCGGACGGTGTTGGTAAGGGATCGAGTTGGTAAGAGACCGGTATTGTAGCGGACGGTTTTGCTGAGGGATCGAGTTGGTAAGAGACCGGTATTGTAGCGGACGGTGTTGGTAAGGGATCGAGTTGGTAAGAGACCGGTATTGTAGCGGACGGTTTTGCTGAGAGATCGAGTTGGTAAGAGGCCGGTATTGTAGCGGACGGTTTTGCTGAGAGATCGAGTTGGTAAGAGGCCGGTAATGTAGCGGACGATGTTGGTAAGGGATCGAGTTGGTAAGAGACCGGTATTGTAGGGGACGGTTTTGCTGAGGGATCGAGTTGGTAAGAGACCGGTATTGTAGCGGACGGTGTTGCTGAGGGATCGAGTTGGTAAGAGGCCGGTATTGTAGCGGACGGTGTTGGTAAGGGATCGAGTTGGTAAGAGGCCGGTAATGTTGCGGACGGTTTTGCTGAGGGATCGAGTTGGTAAGAGACCGGTATTGTAGCGGACGGTGTTGGTAATGGTCCGAGTTGGTAAAGGATCGAGTTGTTATGTTGCCGGGTCAGTTAGAGATTGAGTTGCTAAGAGACCGGTATTGTAGCGGACGGTGTTGGTAAGGGATCGAGTTGGTAAGAGACCGGTATTGTAGCGGACGGTTTTGCTGAGGGATCGAGTTGGTAAGAGACCGGTATTGTAGCGGACGGTGTTGCTGAGGGATCGAGTTGGTAAGAGGCCGGTATTGTAGCGGACGGTGTTGGTAAGGGATCGAGTTGGTAAGAGACCGGTATTGTAGCGGACGGTTTTGCTGAGGGATCGAGTTGGTAAGAGACCGGTATTGTAGCGGACGGTGTTGGTAAGGGATCGAGTTGGTAAGAGACCGGTATTGTAGCGGACGGTTTTGCTGAGAGATCGAGTTGGTAAGAGGCCGGTATTGTAGCGGACGGTTTTGCTGAGAGATCGAGTTGGTAAGAGGCCGGTAATGTAGAGGACGATGTTGGTAAGTGATCGAGTTGGTAAGAGACCGGTATTGTAGGGGACGGTTTTGCTGAGGGATCGAGTTGGTAAGAGACCGGTATTGTAGCGGACGGTGTTGCTGAGGGATCGAGTTGGTAAGAGGCCGGTATTGTAGCGGACGGTGTTGGTAAGGGATCGAGTTGGTAAGAGGCCGGTAATGTAGCGGACGGTTATGCTGAGGGATCGAGTTGGTAAGAGACCGGTATTGTAGCGGACGGTGTTGGTAATGGTCCGAGTTGGTAAAGGATCGAGTTGTTATGTTGCCGGGTCAGTTAGAGGTTGAGTTGCTAAGAGACCGGTATTGTAGCGGACGGTGTTGGTAAGGGATCGAGTTGGTAAGAGACCGGTATTGTAGCGGACGGTTTTGCTGAGGGATCGAGTTGGTAAGAGACCGGTATTGTAGCGGACGGTGTTGCTGAGGGATCGAGTTGGTAAGAGGCCGGTATTGTAGCGGACGGTGTTGGTAAGGGATCGAGTTGGTAAGAGACCGGTATTGTAGCGGACGGTTTTGCTGAGAGATCGAGTTGGTAAGAGGCCGGTAATGTAGCGGACGATGTTGGTAAGGGATCGAGTTGGTAAGAGACCGGTATTGTAGGGGACGGTTTTGCTGAGGGATCGAGTTGGTAAGAGGCCGGTAATGTAGCGGACGGTTTTGCTGAGGGATCGAGTTGGTAAGAGACCGGTATTGTAGCGGACGGTTTTGCTGAGGGATCGAGTTGGTAAGAGACCGGTAATGTAGCGGACGGTGTTGGTAAGGGATCGAGTTGGTAAGAGACCGGTATTATAGCAGGCGTCGTTGGTAAGGGATCGAGTTGGTAAGAGGCCGGTATTGTAGCGGACGGTGTTGGTAAGGGATCGAGTTGGTAAGAGACCGGTATTGTAGCGGACGATGTTGGTAAGGGATCGAGTTGATAAGAGACCGGTATTGTAGCGGACAGTGTTGCTGAGGGATCGAGTTGGTAAGAGACCGGTATTGTAGGGGACCACCGTGTTGGTAAGGGATCGAGTTGGTAAATGAGACTCTCATTCGTTACATAAAAATGGGCGGTGGGGTAGCCTAGTGGTTAAGAGTTGGTGTATCAAGCCGAAGAACTGGGTTCGATGGGTATAATGTGTGAAGACTATTCATGGTGTCCGCCGCTTGAATACTGCTAAAGCGGTGTTAAATAATACTCACTCACCCTTTTATTGAAACTATTTCTATGCATCGCTTGTTTCATACATCGTTGAAGCCGACGCCCAAGTGTGCAACGGCGAGTGTCACAGCAACAGCGACTGTAACCACTGTCACGGCTGCAGCTTCCATTGTCACAGGGATCACGACGCCGTCATTGGACATTGTAGATGTCACTAGTAAGTAGCATTCAAGTGATGGTTCTAGAATTCTTAAAGCGAATAGCTTCAAACGTGAACATTTCATGGCTTTTTCCCTGTACATGTGGACTGACATGTACTTTCTTTTGCGTACTTTAAGTGACTCTCTCCATATTCATAAGAAATAGGTGCCAAAAGCAGAGTCCATTTTACAAAGAAAACGATCATGAATGAAATGGCTATTGAATATAGATTGCATGTCACACCCTGGTGTTTGGTGTGTAACGCTATACGCCAACTCTGAATGTGAGGGGAGGCTGAAGTAATAAGTCTGTCTGCTTTCCCTGTAGTTGAATACAGAGCTATCTGACTGAACATGTCATACTGTACATTCAATCTTCCCTGGGACTATTACATACAGTCTTCTAATACAAATTATCTTTTCTTGTATTAAGAATATGTTTATTTTAAAAAAAAAATCCTGATACAAGCATATCGCCTTTTGTTTCAGGACCCCGTTCCGAATCCTCCACAGTGTACAAAATGTTCTTGAATAAACTTGGAAATGGTTACTGTACAGATTTATCAAAGGTGTTTCACTTCATTGACCATGCAGTCTCATAGACAGGGCATACGGTGTTTAATATGTCGGTTGTTGAATTGATGATTGGGACATTTTCTCGTTTCAATCATTTTCATTCGAAGCAACTGAAGCAACAGGTGTCAGTGATAATGAAGGAGATTATGAAGAAAGTTTAAAGTTATGGGCAACATACACCCCTTACATCAGTAAGACTAAGGTGGCCCAGTGGACTAGGGCGTCGTAACTAGCTGTACTGCGATGCGATTGTTGGGAATCCTACAGTGTTCCCAATATTACGATACTCTTCAATTATAATAGTGCGTTTATTACACAGCATTCTACCATGAATTTGGAAATTACTCGATTCTGATTAGTCAGTCAGAGGTTGTCAAACATAATAAAACCTTTCTGACTGAAGCATCCGATTTGACGGCGACATCACCGCGGAAGCTAATATTCATAGAATAGTACTTTAGTTCAGTCATTGCCGGTAGGCATATATCAATAAATACAAGGGCCCTATTTTGTTTAAAGGCTGTTGTCTGCCACTCAAACCACTGGAGTCAAGCCATGCCGCTTATGACCCGTGAAGATCCGGGGTAGAATAGGTCTTCAGCAACCCATGCTTGCTATAAAGGGAGACTATGCTTGTCGTAAGAGGCGACTAACGGGATCGGGTGGTCAGGCTCGCTGACTTGGTTGATGCATGTCATTGATTCCAATTGCGTGGATCGATGCTCATGATGTCAATCACTGGATTGTCTTGTCCACACAGACCGCCGTCATACAACTGGAATATTGCTAAGTGCGGCGTTAAACAACAAACCAATCAACCAATCGCTCAATATATTTGCTGACACCAAAGAGTTCACGTTTTTTTAGGATGGAGAAAACCTTCTGAACGTTTCAATGTTTAACCGCGCTAAGTTTGAAGGTCACGCCGCGCGCTCCGTTCCAAATTCAACTTAGCGCGGTTAAATCTACAGGTAACCTAGCTGTGCATTGAAAATACACAATATGTTATCTCTTACATGACATGAAAATCGTCAATGCTTTTGGTGTATTCATACTTGTCTCTGTAACCTTACTATCCTGCAAAGTATACGATTATTGATAGTAACATTAATAATAGTAACCAATATTCTAAAATAGAATATATGTATTACAACGTATGCCAATATAGTAGTAAATAATATTTCTATTTAATATATAACGTCTACACCAGAGAATAATCACAATCGATTATCTGCCGAAACAGATTCCATAGGCGTAAAAGTAAAAGAGTGGTGAAAACTATATGAATGGATCACTGAAAATCAGTGATGACAAAGGTGTTCGCCAAGAGGGTAAGCCCGTCCTGCTGGTTCATAGACCAAGTCCTCGTAAATAAAAAGAAAAGAAAAGAAAAGGAACTGAAATGATACAAAATCCATGGAAATGAAAAACTCGTATTTTACCTGCAGTACTAGGAACGATACTACTTGTTTGTGAAAATGAATAAATTTGAACACTATCAATATTGCATATGCTCTTACGAGGTAGTTTCCATCTTGAAATGCAGAGGTTAATCCAGAAAATAAGTAAATGACCACACAAGGTTAATAAATAATCAATATATTCAAACACACATTTTCAGGTTTACAATAAAAAAGAAACACAATGGTTCACATTAGTGACATCAGTAATAGCGAGCGAGCGAGTATGGTTTTACGCCGCTTTTAGCAATATTCCAGCAATATCACGGCGGGGGACACCCGAAATGGGCTTCACACATTGTACCCATGTCGGGAATCGAACCCGGGTCTTCGGCGTGACGAGCGAACGCTTTAACCACTAGGCTACCCGACCGCCCCTACATCAGTAATAAACATCTTCCCGAGGCAAGTGAGTTAACCGACTATAAAAGTCCAGTTTCCACCCTTGCCGAACAAGGCTGGTATTATGGAGTTACAGTTTGGCTGGGGTAACGAGTCTGTGCATAGTCCAATCAAAATCGCGCGACAAAATGGAAATCCGGTTTGTAAACTGTCGTGCTGATTTCGGTCGATTGCAGGATTTTCCAAATCGTTTCATGATTTTAATCAAGGTGCTCACGTGATTTGATGCATTTAGCAATGTAAGACCCGTTTTATCACAATATAGATCTTGATTATCGATCAGATCGTCTTGACAGGGCGCAACCATTTTGTGTGAAGCAAACGCAAGTGATACGAGAGGTGGAATCTGATTGGTCAATAGGAGAACCTTTGAAGGGACATAACTCGTAATAGCCACTGGTGGCGCTACGATCGAGCCCAGTAATTCCAACCTAGTTCGGCAAGGGTGGAAACTGGACTTTTGAAGTCAGTTAACTCTCTTGCCTCGGGAAGATGGATAGGCTCCTGCATTGCGCCTGAATTTATGTAGTGAAATATACATATACAGAAAAAATATCATGTGATTTTCACTCTTTTCCTTAGTCCAATAACGAACAATCTGTATTCTTTCAATATCTCTTATTCAAGAAGTTGCGTCTTTCTTATACATTAAGAAGTGGTCTTTCTATTTGTATACACTATTCTATTGAATGTTCAATGTTTGAACATCATCCCAGTTCTAAATGCCATTTGGTTAAGGTTGTGAAGATGCACATACGTATATTATATAGCAAGGTCAGGAGACACGATACATGCATGAGTGAGGGGTGGCTGATATGTTCTGAGGCTCATACAGAAGGCATTAAAGCATTCCGCATTGACACACTTTTGCCAACGACGTTGGAGAGATTTGGTTCCAGTTTTAGAGCCACATCGGGAGGATATGGTGGTGCAGAAAGAATTCAAAGTCAGACTCGTGGATGGTAGCGATGACACACTGGCACATTATCCTGATAGAAGAGCAAAGCATTCCTCACCCCTAGTCTTAATTTCATACCGGTATTGCCTCAAACGTGCAGCACAATATGCTCCGTTTATTGTCCTGGGTCATTGAAAGATTGTCGGTATCATGGTTACACACTCGGCATCTACAACACACGGAGACCATAACTTTCCCAGTCTTTGCCTTCGTTGGTGGTGGTGATGTCAAATGCTTCATCTGTTGTGATTGTTCTTTAGACTCTGGAGGTGGTGAACCAAGGTTTCATCCATAGTCACAAATTATTGCAAGAACCACACATACGCAAGATATGACTTAAGATCCATATTGATAAATCTTTTACATGCTGAAAAGAGTGTTACAATCATATAGAAGTTCCTACTAATATATATACACATATGTATGCGACCCATAAACCTCCGAGATCAAATAGGTCTTCAGAAACCAATGCTTGCCGTAAATGGTGACTGGCTTGTCGTAAGAGGCGACTAACGGGATCGGGTGGTCAGGCTCGCTGACTTGGTTGATGCATGTCATCGTATCCCAATTGCGTGGATTGATGCTCATGATGTCGACCACTGGATTATCTTGTCCAGACTCTATTATTTACAGACCGCAGTCATATAGCTGGTATATTGCAGAGTGCGGCGTTAAACAACAAACGAACGAACATATGTAAGAATACTGGTGTCAATTTAACTGTCAGACAATGTTTGAATTTCGTTCCGGTGTCCCGGTATAAACTCTCCCCCGTACAAATTCTCCCCCCGGAGATTTTATACCGGTACAGATTCTCCCCCGGCGAATCTGTTCTGAAATAAAATCTCCCCCGGGCGGATATATTTCGCGCCCCCCTCAGTATAAAGTCTCCCCCCTGATTATTCGGTTTGTTGCAATGTCTTCAAGTACTATATTCTTTAAATAGTTATCTTTAATGTAAGGAGGGTTACTTTAAAAAAAAGATTATGAAATATGGTCATAATGAATTGATATTTCAGAATATTTTATTTGGTAACTGTACCTTCCATCCTAAAATAATTATAAGACATAATCATACCAAACAAAGGATGGGAGACATGAGTCTCTACAGAACTTGTTGTTTCTAATACAGTTGTTGTTGTCTGTATACATTTTTTTAATATACCAGTTTGAGTCTACATGTGAACACAATGGATGGTTGAAATGTTAGTCTAAGAACAAAACATGAACTAATTCTAAAGAACTCTGATGTATAAAGTTACCTTCATCTTTGATTGACTGATGTATTTTCAATCTTTATTCAGCACTGAAGAGGCCACAGGCCTATAGTACGAAGCATTTAGTTTATGAATAAACTGTTATAAAGTATTCATAAAGTATCAGGGGTCATTTCAACTTACAAAATGATTGACATGGTCCTTTATAGAGCGAGGATTGGGCTGTTTCCCCATCCGATTGACTGATATTACAACATTCACATGGTTTAGAATGGTACAATGAATAAAGCATGCAAATTACACTAAAACGCGATATTTCATAAGAAAATATCATATCTCCGTTGAAACATAAAACCAATATTTATGAGTCTACATATTGATATAAGACTTTATCACTGTATCCAATTCCAACATTTTAGATATAAACTTTCAGACAGTTCAGTTCAAAATTCTTCAACCTTTGGGCACGCCAGAAACCTATGATTGTGGGTTCGAATCCCGCTTCGCCCCGATTATGTTTCTAGGTTTGTCAGCACCATACTCGTGGGTTTCACCGAAGTGCTAAACGTCTGAGACCTGCATCACTTCGGGCTTTCCTCCCACATTAAGCTGACACGCCGTGATGTAACTGGAATACTGTTAAAAGCGGCGTTAAACCCAACTCACTCATTCGGCGAGTATCCGAATATTATCATGTTTTAATGCTTTCTTTGGCAACTTACGAGAAATAAATTTTATCGCTATTCCTGCCAGTCCAGAGACTCCAGCGGCTATTTCCATGTCAAGTACGATAGGCGTGGCGATTATAGTTGATAGTAAACCAACACCGGCTACACCGAGTCCCATGCCAGCCTTTACAAGCATACGTTATCAATGTACCTCGAGTACAAGCAAGTAATATCCATGTACTGGTACAGCATAGCATTATTATGAATATGAAATCACAATAGCACATTTTCTTTTTAAAACAGACAAATTGTGCGTTGATAATGCTTTAATCTCTACATTAACAATCCCGGAAGAAAACTAACCCCTTTATTGCACCACTGTGCCCAAGCTTGTTCTATTATGCCAACAGTTCAAACTCGAGACCTAGCAACATATCCGATTACACTTGGCCCAGGCTGACCCAAGCGGGATTCCGTCAGTTCTCAATGCAATACTCACGCGGTAGTCTGTCTCCTAGGCCTGGTCCTGCGCCATGACTGTGGGATTTATATGTTTTAGGTATTCTGTTTTACTAAATTCCTAGGCAAGTCTAGATCATACTAACCAAGTCTAGTTTAGTTGATTCCATAACAGCAGAAGGAGAAAGGTTCTTCCGAATAAAAAAAATATATTTTCAAGAAATGTTTTCATTGACTATGTGTTACTCTATCTGTCCCCAGATCCTAGAGAATATATTTGAAACGGACTCCAAGTAAAGAATGATTTGACAAGTCTAGATTGCCTAAGTTCTGGTCCTGAAATCAAGCATCGTTCTGGGATCCATTTGTATTCTATTGAGTAGATTTATAATTTTAACTACGTGAAATTGTATTTCTGGCATGTTGGTTGATTTTAGATGTGGGTATTTATAGATAACAAAAAAATATGAAATATATATTATTTATGATGTAGCTAAGGTATGTGCACGTGTAAAAACTGTAGTTTGTAGTCAACCAAAGAAGATATTCAACACTTTAGATTGTATATTGTTTTGAAATGTCTCGCCTCATGAACACGTTCCTTATTTCAATATTGTATTCAATTCCAACCATGACTGTACACAACATTTATATATTACATGTATACGACGGCTACATGGGCAAGTATAACGGTAAACACAAACGTGTGTTTGTTTAACATTTTTGTGTGTTGAAACACTGTTATATTAAAGGGAAATATAACCGTTTAGTCTGTTCGGGTAACCAATTCTAGCTATTATTTCCTGAATAAAACATTATCTACTTCAGGCATACACATATTATTTTGTGTCATGTGACACCAGATGTTGTTATCAACCAATACTCATAACGTAAACAACCATAGAAATGTGAAACATCAATAATAGAGAATAACCAAGTTCGATTTTCCAACGAAAAAAATCCTTTTGGCGTGAACGTTGACAATAGCGGTACAAATATATTAATGGATCACTGAAAATCAGTGATGACGCAATTGTTTGCAAAAATATGTTGCCTCCGATGAATAGATGAAGTTATGCCGAAACAGTAAGCTCTTAGAAGTCTTGTTTGCCAGCTGGGACCATGTCAGTATATAAGGTATGAAATGCATTTACACGTTGAACGCATTGACAGAGAGTATTAGTTATCTTGAACGGTTGGTGAAACCGCGCAAATCGAAACAGTTCATTTATGGTGTAGTATTTCCATTGGCAATTCTAGATCTGGGGGCGAATATATTTCGTGACACCGGAACTACTGATGTAACTGATTTCAGAGATCTTATTAATCCTCGCAAACATTCGGTTTTAACACTAACTACGTAAAAACTGTCAACATATCCACGCCGTTATACTCTGATTAAAGATCTAAAATATACCTTAATACAGGCTACCATTTGAAAATGGTATCAGTGTAATACCAGGAGCTAGAATATCATGGTGCAACCAGGTTCCTGTTAAACATAGAGCAAAGTAACCCAAAATATAGATAATGTGTATCATCTTCCCGAAATGATTAGCATGTAGAATAGATTCAAAAACACCTGTATTGAACAACATCAACCGGCATCGTCAAAGCAAAGTGTACATGTAATTGTAACAATGGGGCTGGCGGTGAATATTAATGAAGAACATCTTGTTAAAAAGACACACCAAAACTGATTTGCCTAACTGATGACCACAACATATTGCAAAATATCAAAATAGTAAAAATGATACAGTTTAACCTCACACTGAAGAGAAAACAAGAACGACACAGAAAAGTAAAATAGTACGTCATATAGAACTGAGATAAAGTAATCTGAGAAGGGATTCATACGTTATATACAACTTAAAAATATAATATTATGAAAAACGAAAGGATAGGTGGGACACCCCCCACCCCCCACCCCACACCCCACACAAGTAACTAAATGTATAATTCAGAAAAAATAAAGGAGATAAAAAAAAATGAATAAAAAAACACATAAACAAATTAACATTAAAACTATTGGCAACTGCATGGCAAGTATTTATAAAACGACCGGGGGAGGAAATATTCTGGGGGGAGATTTTATTTCGTAGGGTAGGGGAGAGTTTATTTCGAGAGGGGCGGAACTGTACCGGTATAAATTCGCCGGGGGGAGATTTTATTCTGGGGGCGAATATATTTCGTGACACCGGCTTACTATTTAAGAATAAATGTTCCCTAATGCTCATTTTTGGTTTAACTCTATGTCCAGTTCTACCAACGATATTCGTGTATCGATCGGAATTTTGAGGCGTCCCCACACATTGACACATGTCACACCCCAAGCCCAGGTATGTCATGGCGTGACAAGTCAGCAGGAGGAGAGCCAACACGAACTCAAATCTCAAACCTCAGCACTTTTGTTAAACTCATGAGCGCGAGAGTATTGCTGACAGAAGTAGTCAGGCTTGAAATCTCAGTCAGCAAATCCTGGCCACAAAGGGACGCAACTCTGTACTCACTTTTGCTATCTTCACCAGCAATTGTAAGGGATGCGAATACTTAATTATGTGAATGGGTACGTGATTCTGGCGCAGTGTAAAACTAAAAAAAAACCATTTCAGTCAGCTCAGATAATGACAACTATGACAGTAAATACCGGAGGGCAAAGTCGAGGACCACTTTCATAAAACGGGTGTGGCACTGACAATCCAAGGATCATCATCTTTATCTCCACAGCGACGCATCACCGTGCATTGAGTTGCGGCGTCCTAGGCCACCAGGCCACGTTGGTCCTACTGATATAGGAGGTGTTCGCGAACACCTGGTGTCGTCACTGACAAAAGGAATCTGTTTCGGCAGATAGAAGAGACTGGTTGTCCCCTGGCGTTGACTTTTTATATTAACATGACTCAGCTTGAGCCTATTGTAAATATCCATCATGGTCGCCGATAGCTATTATTTACAAAATAAAACACCATCAAAATGAGAAAATATACCTGATATTTAGTATGTTAGGCTATATGATCTATGTGGTGCAAGAAATGTAATACAAATGTGCAGAAACCATTTCCATTTTATTCAATAATCGCAACATTGTACGCAGCGTGTGGGATTCTGAAACAAACGCAATGTACCTGTATCATAAGTTCTTTAAAACATTTTCATCATCATAATACAAGACAATCTTGCTATTAATCTAATCATTTACCGATGCCAATTTAAAGCACATCGTTGAAGCGAAAAAAATCCATATCGTCTCTAGATCTAGATAGTGAAAACAGATTGGAAACAGCTTATACGCCTGTAAATGAAAGTTCGTGTGACATTTGAGAATGTACATCAGTTATATCTCTTAATTATTATTCAAGGTGTATGCTAAAATAGCTGTGCTAATTTGATTATATTTCTACAATACAACCAAAGACATTTTTCTTTAATCTTCGCCGAATAGCCGTTTCATTCATTCCTTACGTGTAAGAATAATGAAAGTGGCTCAAAATGACCATTTTGCATGTCAGTCTGTTGAATGATACCTGCTGGTGACATCTACAATGTCGTTAGATCTGTGTTCTCCCGTCGGCTGTGAGCAGCTGTAACTTGTTCTCTCTTTCTCTCTCTCTCTCTCTCTCTCTCTCTCTCTCCGTCACCCTCTCTACCCCACTCTCTCTCTGTCACCCTCTCTACCCCCACTCTCTCTTATCTCCGTCACCCTCTCTACCCCCACTTTCTCTCTCTCTCTCTATCTCTCTTTCTCTCTCTCTCTCTCTCTCTCTCTCTCCGTCACACACTTGCGACGATATCTTATTGTTACGTTCTGTCGAACAATACTATCACCTGTTTGACCTTCAATGAACGTAATCTATTTATCTACAATGTCGTCAGATCCGTGTTCTCCCGTCGGCTGTGAGCAGCTGCAACTTGCTCACATCAGAAAAAAACACGTTGACGGTTACGACATTGCCAACGTTGAACTTGGCGTGCCCAACGTGACGATATTGCCTCGTCAACGTATTTCCTCTAAATGGCCCGTAGGCCCATACCAACTCCGCCCCTAAGCATACAGGCCCCTTACTAACTCGGCCCCTTACTAACTCGGCCCCTTACCAACCAGGTCCCTAACCAACAAGACCCCTTACAAATTCGGTCTCCTACAATATCGGTCTCTAACCAACTCAGCCTCATGCTAGCCCAGCCACGTTACAACTCGGCCCCTTACCAACCTGGTCCCTAACCAACAAGACCCCTTACCAAATCGGTCTCTAACCAACTCAGCCTCATGCTAGCCCGGCCCCGTTACAATTCGGCCCCATACCCAATCGGACCCTTACCAACTCGATCACTTCCCTACTCCGCTTCTGACAAAACCAGTCGAACTTAAGGAGACGTAAAAACTCACCGACAAAGGCTGCTCCGACGAGCAGGACAGAGACGAGGAGAAGGAGACACACAGCCTTCATGGTGGATGAGATGTTTGGAAACTCATCTGAAGGGCTTGTTTTTTTATACACTTACATGTGTAACGCGACTTTCATTTTTTCAGTGCCTGAGATTGCATGATTCTCGTCCTATGTTTAGCTGTGCCCAGAACAGCATCATGGCCATGAGATAAGGTATCACGATTCGGCCCTGTTACTGACATTTTGTTAACTGTGTAAAATATATGTTATTCGTGGGAACAAATACATATTAAATAAATGTAAAACTCAATGATAAGGAAATAATATCAACCGTTCTTCTATCTTTATTCAGCTCATATTTTGATTAATATTTTACATTATTTACACACACACATTACGACTCTATATTCTCCATAATACAGCTACTGTAAGCAAAATGGTGAAGTCTTTTAACAAAGATTATTGCACTCATATAGCTACGTGCATGCACGTGTGTTTATGTGGCTGCTTGTACTATTTCGGACTGATGCCGATTTATAGTGCTAGCCCACTGAGATTTCATGCCGCAGTTTAACATGAATACCCCACTCAGACAAAGTCTACTGACTCCAAGCAGACTAGTCCTTGTTTTAGCCCCTTAATGCCGAGCGACACACAGGGTAACAACAAGTACCATCTTTTAACGTATTTTGGTATGACGGGGCCGGGGATCGAACCCTGGACCTTTCGCTCTCCTGGCGGACGCTCTACCACTAGACCACGGAGGCGGTCTGATTACAAAAGTACAAATCTTACAAAAATGCCATGACATGTTAACGTACATACTTCTGATATAAAGGAAACGTCATTTTTAAATGAGCTATTTGAACCAAATTTAGCACAGGATTGGTAACTGCAGTGGGAACCAACACGTGCCATGAGCAGTGACGGATTAGGGTATGTATATAAACCACGGGTGTTTGCAAACATCATCGCTGATTGTACTGTACAACATGAGAGCTGTGTTCTTCCTCGTTTTCGCCTCCATTCTCCTCCTCGGAGCTGTTAGTGAGTAGTTTGGTCTGCAGTTCAATCTGTGTGAATGTGTGTGTGTGTGTGTGTGTGTGTGTGTGTGTGTCTGTATGTGTATATGTCTGTATGTTTGTTTGTATCTGAGTGTGTCTTGTGATTGTATTTATGTATGTGCATATGTCTGCATGTATCTATCCAACTATTTGTAAGTCTTACATCTATTAATCTATTTTTTATACCTCCCTCCCTCCCTCCCTCCCTACACACCCACCCACCCACCCATCTGCCTGCCTGCCTGCCAACCTACCTACCTACCTACCTACCTACCTACCTACCTGCCTGCCTGCCTGCCTGCCTGCCTGCCTGCCTACCTACCTACCTACCTACCTACCTACCTAACCTACCTACCTACCTACCTACCTAAAGACATGCATGTACCTACCTACGTGTATCTACCCACCTTTCTGTTTGCTTCAGCTGATGTAGCCAAGGCGCAGACATGTAGCAGCATACCCTGCATGAACGATGCCGACTGTGCCAGGTGCAACTGTAACTCACGTTGTGGCAATTATGTTGGCGGCATTGCGGGCACTTGTGCATGTCACTGGTACAGACTCTTTCCGTATAAACTACACTTTCCACCTATATAAACTGATGCTTTAACCGACTGAGCATTAACATTACACTCTGTTGCTATCTGTTCTGGGATAAGCATTCTTGGTTGTCGATGGTCGGTTCCGTGTAGGTCCAGGTTGCTAGTGTAATGGTCTGGTTGTATTACCGGCTGAATATTATACAACAAAGATGAAGAAGGCCAGCCTGAAATATTTCTTTTTGAATATTTGTTGGCCAAAAACGATATTTTGTTGAAAATATTCTTAAATGTTCTTAACAGATGGTAAAACAGCAAAAAGGCAATTGGTTCTGAGAGTACTGGGTGTTTGTTCGTGGACCCCTGAGTAACAGATTAACTGACCAAGGAGGGGACTTCAAATTTGATATCAATAAAATATATATCGCTTATCCTAAGGTACCAGTGAAAAAAGGATACAAATGGGTGTCTTTGTGTTTTAACAGTGAATCTTTCTTTTTTTCTGTAGATTGCTGAACATTAAAGGGCCAAACTTTGAGCTTCAAGTTCTGCACTGAAAGACATGCTCGTGTTTGTACTTATTGAAAATACAATGTACTGGAATGACCATTGTTGTGACGTATGATCATTGTTTTGACATATGACCATTTTTGTGACCTGTAGAACTAAGCCAATCTGGTTAAAGTCAGATTTCAGTTCTCGATAGCGCTGAACAAAGACCTGAGGACATCACATCAGAACGACTTTTTATCCGACCAATCAGTGCGTCGCTTACCAGATCAGGAAAGTGGCAGTGTGTGTTTTCTAATCATACAGCCACGAAAATGTTAACAAGGGGTGTTCCGAACGACTGTTGCGAGCTGTACGACTGATTCCCTCAAACTTATCGTCTTTATCTCGCTTCAATGACATAAACATTTGAACCGAAGAGACTTTGCATAGCCCGTGGAAAGTACTGCCATACCTCCTCGGTCACCTATTTGACCTTCCAGAACGTTCATATGTTCAGTTTTCAAATTTTGGCTGAGGGTGGAATACGACTAAGGGGGGATACGATTGAGGGTGGGATACGACTGACTGAGGGTGGAATACGACTGACGGAGGGATATTTCTGAAGTGTTTGATAGAGCGCTGGTGCTCATACCCCGTGTGATATGGGTAAAGATGCCGTGTCTTGGCCATACAAATTGGTTCGTATCACCAACGAGTATGTGATACACCTGATGTCGTGACTGTAGCTGTACACTGATTCGACATACAAATATAGATACAGCACCAACGAATTGACGTTTTTAATTAGACTGCTGGGTTCCCGAGTCTTCCTTCCACGTGAGTTCAACACGTCAGACAACATGAGACTGGAATATCTGCTAAAACAGATTCCATAGGACGTAAAAGGCAAAGTAGTAATGACTATTATGTAAATGGAAAATAAATGAGGACAACAGGTTAACGACAAAAAGATTAGACGTTGCCTGTTCTTGCTGTAGTATCCAAAACTCATACAATTTTCATTAATAAACTGCAAGTATAACATGTTCAGGGAAAGGTAATAGTGTGGGACAGCATCGAACATCATTTAGGAAAGCGACATTGTCCTATTTGTTAAATTCCTGTGAAGGTCTATAATAAAATGGAATTTTTTAATTAAGAAGTAAGAAACTTGTATGAGCTTTGTGAATACTTTAATGAAACAGAAAATTATTAATGTCACCGCAACACTGTAACTTATATAATTACACGGAACCAAGCTCTTTAATGACCAGCCAAATATCACATCATCTTGATTTGCCTTTGCATGTGTTTGTGACGGGTGCAGGATACGCTAACTTTGTCGCCTGGTATCATCACCCTTGATAGGACCGCCCCAGTGGATTAGTGGATAGAGCGTCTGACAACAGAGAGAAATGTCGGTGGTTCGATACCAAAGATGGAACTTGTTGTTACATTGCCTGGCGCAGGATAAAATAGAGACTGGCTGGCTCGGAGTCAGTATACTATGCCTGATTGGGGTATTTATGTTATACTGCGGCACAGTATCTTAGTGGAGTAGCACTATAAATCCGGCATCCGTCATAACTAGTCACACACACACACACACACACAGAGACCACACACACAGAAACTGCACGCACGTCGATATGCAAGTACAGCTTAAAACGCATTTTTTTATCCAATTTCACTGCACCTAACTTTCTATGCTTATGAGGTGAAGTGAAAGTGGGTTTAGCGACGTGCATGCACGAGTGTGTGTGTGGCTGCTTGTACTAGTCCGGACTGATGCCGATTTATAGAACCAGCTCACAGATACCATGCCGCAGTTTAACATGAATACCCCACTCAGACACAGTATACTGACTCCGAGCCGACCAGTCCTTGTTTTAGCCCCTTAATGCCGAGCGCCAGACAGGGTAACAACAAGATCCATCTTTTAACGTCTTTGGGTATGACGCGGCCGGGTTATTTGAAAGAACATCACTTGCAAAACAATGTCATTCATATATGAACAGAAATGTTAAAACTTGAACAACATGACATCTGAATTGCATGATGGCTTTACAAAAGGGAAGTAACTCGTCTATGTATCTCTGCTAAATAAGCGGGGTGGTGGGGTAGCCTGGTGGTTAAAGAAGTTCGGTCGTCACGCGGAAGACCTGGGTTCGAATCCCCACATGGGTACAATGTGTGAAGCCTATTTATGGTGTCCCCCGCACGGTTATTGCTTGAATATTGCTAAAAGCGGCGAACCATTTTCACTCACTCTCTCACTGCTAATGTACAATGTTTACAACTGTTGTCAACCTCTTGTCGAACTATTACGTAACCTGATCTATTTTTCCCTATGCCAGTGGTTTAAACAATAAAAGCAACAAAACCTTTTATCCCAAGAAGTCACTTCTAAAAGCAGAGTCTTCCCTACGATTCCGACTATATCATAACCAAGTGTTTGTGAATCCCTACAAAATAGCGAACCCTGCCCAAATGGGGACACCTGTGGTACAAGTGAAAATAAGAAATTGCATCTGACATCCTTTTGGTCACTGATGCCTCAAATTTGGAACTGTCCTCCATATGTCTACCATTGAACGTTTTCAAAGTTTCACTAAGGATCTGAATGCTGCAGCACGATCAAACAACGTTCGAGCAAGTGTCGTGTGCCACCCTGGAAAGTGTTAGAAAGAGCCTGCTCGATTGTACCTTAAATGTTTGAAATGAAGACACCAAAGGATGGAGCTGCTGGAACATTGGTCGACATGAAGGGAAAGGGGACAATTGGGAAGTTGAAGTCATCTTGCCATACAGTCTTGTGGAGAGTTTTTGTCACTCTGAATCTTCATGCATCTTAATATGATACAGATGAGACAGTTTCACTGGCCTGTTATATTTCTAATTGAAGCGCGTAATTATTGTTATATAGCTATCTATTACAGCCTTCCTTCTAATCTTATGCCATGAAGTGTGTAAGATAGTGCACCTAAGATGATCTGCCGCCAGTACATGTATACGAATATATACATATCGAGTTATGAAGTTCCTTGTGTTAAAGCGTTCGTTTTCAAAGACCTGCATTCGATTCCCAACATGGATACAATGTGGGAAGCCCATTTCCGGTGTCCCGCGCCGTGATATACCTGGAATATTGCTGAAAGCGGCGTAAAAACCATGCTGACTCACTCAAGGAGCAGGCATGACACCTGTGCTTACAGGTGCAGCATTAGAGGCGTCCTGAGTGCATCATGGAAGTTTTAATGCTTGCATGTGTACAGATGCATGACAATATTGACACGAAGAACTAACAATACATGACAGGCTCTATTTCTTACTACTTTGAACGAACCTTTATATTTGTAACATGTTAAATACCTTTTATAGAAATTTCTCAAATATGTGTAAGCATTCATTATACATGCTAAAGTAATCAGTTTTTGTCCGAAGTGAGTGAGTATACATGATAACTGAATGAGTGAGTATACATGATACTTGAGTGAGTATACATGATACCCGAGTGAGTGAGTATACATTTTAACTGTGTGAGTTTTCTTATAACCTGCATGAGTATATATGATACCCGAGTGAGTGAGTATACATGATACCCGAGTGAGTGAGTATACATGATACCCGAGTGAGTGAGTATACATGATACCCGAGTGAGTGAGTATACATGATACCCGAGTGAGTGAGTATACATGATACCCGAGTGAGTGAGTATACATGATACCCGAGTGAGTGAGTATACACGATACCCGAGTGAGTATACATTATACCTAAATGAGTGAGTGTACATGATACCCGAGTGAGTGAGTATACATGATAACTGAATGAGTGAGTATACATGATACTTGAGTGAGTATACATGATACCCGAGTGAGTGAGTATACATTTTAACTGTGTGAGTTTTCTTATAACCTGCATGAGTATATATGATACCCGAGTGAGTGAGTATACATGATACCCGAGTGAGTGAGTATACATGATACCCGAGTGAGTGAGTATACATGATACCCGAGTGAGTGAGTGTACATGATACCCGAGTGAGTGAGTATACATGATACCCGAGTGAGTGAGTATACATGATACCCGAGTGAGTGAGTATACATGATACCCGAGTGAGTGAGTATACATGATACCCGAGTGAGTGAGTATACATGATACCCGAGTGAGTGAGTATACACGATACCCGAGTGAGTGAGTATACATTATACCCGAGTGAGTGAGCATACATGATACCCGAGTGAGTGAGTATACATGATACCCGAGTGAGTATACATTATACCTAAATGAGTGAGTATACATGATACCCGAGTGAGTGAGTATACATGATACCCGAGGGAGTGAGTATACATGATACCCGAGTGAGTGAGTATACACGATACCCAAGTGGGTGAGTATACATGATACCCGAGTGAGTGAGTATACATGATACCCGAGTGAGTGAGTATACATGATACCCGAGTGAGTGAGTATACATGATACCCGAGTGAGTGAGCATACATGATACCCGAGTGAGTGGGTATACATGATACCCGAGTGAGTGAGTATACACGATACCCAAGTGGGTGAGTATACATTATACCCGAGTGAGTATACATTATACCTAAATGAGTGAGTATACATGATACCCGAGTGAGTGAGTATACATGATACCCGAGTGAGTGAGTATACATGATACCCGAGTGAGTGAGTATACATGATACCCGAGTGAGTATACATTATACCTAAATGAGTGAGTATACATGATACCCGAGTGAGTGAGTATACATGATACCCAAGTGAGTGAGCATACATGATACCCGAGTGAGTGAGTATACATGATACCCGAGTGAGTGAGTATACATGATACCCGAGTGAGTGAGTATACATGATACCCGAGTGAGTATACATTATACCTAAATGAGTGAGTATACATGATACCCGAGTGAGTGAGTATACATGATACCCGAGTGAGTGAGTATACATGATACCCGAGTGAGTGAATATTATATATTTCTGATAGTAATGCTACCTGTGTTGGTATACATAATAGCTGAGTGTGTGACTTAACATATACCTGAATGAGTATACAATATATATGCGTGAGTGTACATTATACCTGAGTGAGTATACATTATATCTGTGTGAGTATATTTTTTACCTGCGTGAGTATACATTATACCTGAGTGAATAGACACTATACCTAAGTGAGTATAGTCTATTCCTGCGTTAGTATACGTTATACTTGCGTGAGTATACATTATACTTGACTTGAGAATACATTATACGTTTGAGTATATATTATACCTGTGTGAGTATACATTATAACGGCGTGAGTATACATAATACCTGCGTGAGTATACATTATACCTGAGAGAGTATACTCTAATCCTGCGTTCCTGCGTGAGTATACATTATACTTGCGTAAGTATAAATTATGCCTGAGTGTTTGATAATACATTATACTTGAATGAGTACATATTATATCTGTGTGAGCATAAATTATACCTGTGTGGGCATACATTGTATCTGTGAGAATATACATTATACCCGAGTGAGGTATGAATCTCAATCGACATATGACCAAGGACCGCGTGATAAGTTGCGAACGTGGTAAATGTCTTGACATGTTTGTACATTTGCTGTATGTCTGTGGTATCTGCAACGGGTGTAACTATATCCCGATATGAGTCAGAGCACGTTTGTGGGCATGTGGCAATGATGTGGCACTATATTTAACAACTGAAAAGAAAGTTGTTCATAACACGTAACAAGAAAGACGTTGACGAGGCAATATCGGTACTTTGGGCACGCCACGTTCAACGTTGGCAATGTCGTAACTGTCAACTTGCTCACTATTTTCTGATTTGAGCAAGTTACAGCTGCTCAGAGCCGACGGGAGAACACGGATCTGACTACGTGGGAGGAGAAAGAGCGGCTCCTTGTTGTATTTAGGACATTGTGCGGTAATTAGGGATGTGATATGTGGCCGATAGAGTAGAGAACTAGTTGGGGCGAAACCGCATTATCGGTGGTTCGAGAAGGGAGCCTAATCCGTTTGCCTAATCGAAAGTTCGAGGTTGGCCCACATTCGAAACTAAACGCACACTCAAAAGATACGTGACGCCATCAAGAGACACGATCTAAAGTAGGTGAAGGTTAGATAGTACAGAAAGTACAGTATCAGTCAGCGTGGTTTTACCAAAAGGCTGAAATATAAAAACTGTTGTTGTTTCATCATGCGGTTTTAGACGGTTATTATTAGGATGGGTTGTGGAAGGTCCACATTTCCAATCGTTATGTCATTGCTACAGTAAGATACCGTTTTTCAAATACGCGTTATATCTCACCTCCAGTCTGTTTTATACATATTTCTGCCACCTCAAACATGAAGTCGCAAGCAGAAAACTGGATTTACATCATCGTGACGTTGTCACTCCTGAGTAAGTATTGTTCATATTTGCAGCATTTTACTATTTTAAATTCACGTGTTGGATAAAGTTGATAAATATTAAACACAAAATACAATTATGTTTTGGATAACATGAAGAGAAACAAATATTCCTACTACAGATGACGTCTGTTGGATATGCTTTATATACTCCATATGTAATGATTAAAGCATAAAATATGTATCACGTGATTCAACATGTGTACTGGTTATTCACTGGCGTTGACGTTTTTTAGTTACGGTATTCGACGTAATAAGCGCCCCGCTCTAATAAGCGCTCACGGCGATATTTGCTAATACATGTATATTGGCTAGCGAACAATCCCAATTAGCACCCCTTCCGATTGATCAATGCACACAAGACTTATTTATTCGCGTATAATACGCACTCGTGTGTTATATGCACCCTTAATTATGGGCAATTAAATTCAGGAAAAATATATCTGTCGTACATAAACATTTCAGGCTGTCAAGAAATATCGTTTGAACTATGAAATATATAGTTAATGTTCGCATGTACAGATCCACCATCAAGTATTGTGTTTGGTGTCCGTGCGTGTGTGCGAGTGTGCGCGCGTGCGTGCGTGCGTACGTGCGTGCATGTGTGTGTGTGGTTCGGGTAAACGTGTTAGTGGTACAACGTCCATAACGAAAGGCGGATATATCATTTTTTATGTGTATAGGTATCTGTATTCTGCTATGAACGGAATATAAATCTCTACTGGTGTTTGTTTGTACAATCTTTAGCATTCATGTACGTGTACATTTGCATGATGACATATTGTAAATGATCATATATATCGTATTTGAAAGTACCTGTAGGAGATGATACATGAGCGAGTGAGTTAGGTTTAACGCCGCTTGAACAGTATTCCAGTTATATCATGGTGTTTCCGCGTACTGGGGTAAGGAAGCCCGAAGTGATGCGGGTCTTAATTAGGCGTTTACAACTTTGGTAAAACCAAGGAGCGCGGGTATGGTGCTTGCAAACCTAGAAACATAATCGGGGTGAACCGGGATTCGAATCCACAATGGTAGGTTTTTCTTGTGCCCAAGGGACGCAACTCTGCACACAAGCCACTCGTGCCAGGTCATACATGAGAGTGTCTTCAACGATGCCAGATGTACAATGCACACAACGTTATAAGCGTAGTCGTATCAACATAGGATTTGAATAAATATAATGAAAATGATCTTAGAATGTTAATGGGCGAATAGGTGAGCGTAACGTGCCTCACTGGTGACACCCGTTGCAAACACATACAAAGGCAAGTAATGTGATCCATTGAACAAAGTCAAGGTAACAGGGTAATTTAATCCGAAATAACTACCGAAAATATATAGTTATTCAACGAATGACATGAATTGATACAGTCTCAAAACTAAACAGGTTTTGCAGAGGCCAGCCTTAACACATACATTTTACGTTTCAGCTGGGGGTGGAGAATGCCTTTTGCTCAGAAAACGACTTGTCCCAATCGTACCGTTGATCGCCAAATTTGCCATCAAGGAGCTGACGTCCTTTGGTATCGACTCTCTGGCGGATCTCTTCGCAGAAACCGGGAATGCTGAAAAACTTGACTCCATTTTGCAGATTCTCAATTCGATCAAGGTAACTAACTGATATTATCTCTTCACATCATTCATAAAACAAGGTTCCTTAATGTGAAATAGAATGGACATGTACATAGCGTTCTTTTTTTACCAAACATTGTCACAATTTGTTTTCTTTTTTTCTCAATTAAATGTTTGACTTTTCAGGATGAGCATACAGATTTCCTCATAAAGCTTAAAGAGCTAAAGGAATTGCAAACTGTACATGATGCAGAAAGGGTTGAACGAGGTCTCCTTGGTATTCATGACTATTTGGACACATTCATCAAGTCTTATAAAACGTGCTTGCTGGCAAATGCAGCCAACAACTGTAACAAAACACCGGAGAATGAAAAAGAGGCCTTGAAGATGGATTTAATGAGGATACCCAACTTGTTAACAGAACTGCATTTGATCATAGAGGGGATCAGCGTAGTATCTGCAGGACGTACCTCTGGTCTAGCGTGTGATTATGTTAGACATGTTCTCAGGGAGCTTCAAGCAGTCACATCACAAAGTTATAATCTTAAACAAAGCTTGTCTGATATCAGCAGCTACAAAGAGGAGTTGATGAGACTGCAGGTTAGTTCTTTTCAGCTGTACAACTTAACATGTTCTGTGAACAACCCAACGTGTGCTGTAGTGAAGAAGAAACTGGAAGAACGCTTACTAGCTCAAGAAAGAAGATTTCAAAATTGCACGCCTCAGCATTTCTCACATGCTAACAAGGTATATAACATAAACATTATCCATCCTAAATCCGGCACAGTTGTGTTTACCAATCAGAAAAAATCGATTGTGATTGATGGTACTTTTGATTGGGACAAAATCGATAAACCACAAGATGCAGGACTGAGATGTCCACGGAGAGATTCTAGTGAGGTATTTTCTTGGGAGGAGGCATCGCCCGATGGAAAAGCTGGCTTTTACCTGAGACAGAAGAGTGGATGCTATTTGAGTTTCGATAGGCCTTTTGTGATGTACAAAAAAGTGGTACCAACGTTTTGGACCAACAATGATAAAATTGACAGGAAAGAGTTTCTTATTTGTACAGCCACCAAAGAAGATGCGGTCACATTTCTGATAGCAGCTGCCGGAGCAGACATCGATACAACATACAGCTTCAAAGAAGTAGAAACTGGAAAATATTTGAACATTCACACAGAGCGCACAAGTGTTAATGACGAAATCGACAATAGACTGACATTGGTACTCTTCCTTGACGAAGACCAATTCTACTGGAATCAGACACTGGAAGGATCAAATTACAGACCATGTGATGGTAAGATACCCTGAAGTTCAGATCGGTACTAAGTGAAATCATGAAGTGGTAATTTTTGATATTATCATTTTGGTTTTACCGATAAAACAATATTTGGTAAGCAGAGGTAAATATAAGACATATCTACATGTGTAATGGGTACTATGTGTGAAGCTAATTTCCGGTGCCACACGCCGGTATAGTGCTGGGATATTGCTCACTCACTCATCGACTACATTTATCAAGATGCATTTCTGAAGCATTGTCAATAAGACCAAACGCTACACCGACTGATGAAGCTCTGTGTTAATATAATCACTTTTGCATTGTGTTTCAACCGGTCCAATTGTTTCAGAATCATCAGCTGTTGCAGCAACAGACACATCTGATGGAAGCTACCTCGGACTTGTCATCGGAATTACCGTCGCGGTGGTTTTTCTTTTGACTCTAGTTGTGTGGTGCTGTTGCTATTGCTGTTGCCGCAACTAACCCACTCCCAAACTCAACTTGACATTATGATGAAGATTTATTTACATATTCAGCAAGTTTAGTTTTGATAAATACTTTGTGAAAAATAACTAATTGGTCAGACTATAATTTGCCTATAATTTGAGCAAAAACACAAGCATTAGATATTTTATCTTATTGCCGTAACTTACAAACTGTATGTAGGGAAAATGGTGATAATCTTTCTCACTGAAACAAGCAGGATTGTCGACATTTCTTAAGGCTGGCATTACGTTTATCCAGGACATCATAAACCAACAACATGTTGTTGCTGCAATTTCGGAATGTGTTCCTGTTGCTAACGGGGTATGGGGTACGGTATGTGGTTGGAAGTGCACCAAGTAACTGTGCTACTCACTATCTGATTCGTCACCCTGATAAGACCCGAGTGTCCCGTGTGGGAATAGTGTACACACACTCATGTATATCATCACAGTAGGTCACACAGTTGACATGACGTAAACCTGCTTTATCTCATTTAACGTTTTGATTGTAGTGTTCATTGGAGAATCTGTGGAATTAATACAATTCGTGCATTGCAAATGTCTGACGGTATCAATTCTATAAATATGACTTTTATCGTGTATATATACTTGGACATAAAAACATAAAAAAAACATATTGTTTCTGTGTTTTCATAAATGTTAATGTTACAAAAGCTTCAGTGATGATTATTGTTCATTGTTCACGGACAAAATTCTTAAAACATATGTCTCCTTCAATGTATATATGACCTGGAGTGAGTGAGTGAGTTGGGTTAAAGGCCGCTTTTTACAGTTTTCCACTTATATCACAGTGTGTCAGCTTAATGTGGGAGGAAAGCCCGAAGTGATGCAGGCCGCAGACGTTTAGAAACATAATTGGGTAATCGGGGCAAACCGGGATTCAAACCCACGATCATAGGTTTCTGACGTGCCCAAGGAAGGCAACTCTGCACAGAGAATTTTCCCGATGTTTGAGGTGACAGTAAAATAACTCTTGACAGTATGAAACAGTCTGAACTATAAAAGAACTCACATGAGTCACTCGTGGAAATGAATTATCGGATTCATAGTATTTATAAATGGAGTGATTCTTTTAACCTTCTAAAAAAGAAGGATGTGACTGAACAACAGTGGATAGACAAGAAACATTCCAATTAGGTGTAATTCCGGAAATATAAAACTAATATTATCAAAGTATGTTTAAAGGATCAGAATACAATCCCGATTGCTCCTGTACACAAACTATCGCTAAAGACAAGGAATCCTATCTTGTATTTCTGAAACAACGAACACTGTGAAACTACTACAGTACAATGAAATATCGATTGAACCTTGAAATATACATGAACATTGATCTGCACGCTTGTGAGATCCAGTAGTATGTTTAATGTGTGTGATTTGCGCAATCTCCAGGGTAACCTTCCAACAAATCAATATGTGTAGGTCACAATGACATAAGTCAATAGTCGCCGACGAATGAGCAAAGAAACTCGGTGCTTTGTTATGCTGTGTTTATAAATAACACGTAGGGTATCTCGTGGTAAAATATCACCAAGAACCTCTCAAGCACTCGTGTTAAATCGACGAGTTAATAAATAAACATTTTCATGAAAAAGAAATCGGCAAGAGCCGATATTAAATCCCTAAATGACAATCTGTCATTGTTTTGCCTTGTATATGTGGAACTAACGTAAATAGAAAGTGAAATATCCTCTGTTTCCTGACAGAAATCACTTACTATTGAGGGGTGATAACGTGTAGGTAGGTAACTCCAGACCTGTAAGAAACTATTCCTGTGAAAGGCAGAGGATTGTCATGTGTTATGTTCACTGTTCATATATGCTTCATTCACATTGAGGTATATTATTAAACCTTTGGACCGTACACTGGTAAAAGTGTATTTCGAAATATGTTTCTGTTGGTGGGACGGTGAAGTACGATGTAGAACAGAAATTATTCTATTCCTTCTATAATGCTTGCGCTACTTCGTCAGTTCACATACTTGAAGCAGGTAAGATTAAAACGAATTTAGACCTCTTTGGTGATTTGAAAACATTATGTTGAGAGAGTACCCGAACACGTTGAGCGAAATAGACTATTGAAATATACTCAACAAAGTAACTACGCAATAAGCCCCAAATGCGCATGCGCAGTTGAACACTTTGAACTGCTGTCCTGGCACTACGCCAATATCAGCTGCTCTAAAAATAAATATTGATCATGATGAGGTATTTCAAAGAATTTAGAATCTGCAGGAGAAACAGGTTTAGCAAGTTAGGTAAAGGATTTCCAGTTTCCGTTGCTGCCCACAACTGCGTATATTGTGACGAGACATTTCACACAGAACATATACATACAATGGATGCCCAAAGAGGATCGTCTTTTGTTAGTCTCTTGATCATGGCTTATCTTGTGACAGTGACTTGTGAGTACTTTTATCTCAATTTTAGGTTGCTTTCGACTGTCAAATAAGCGATTCTTTTGACAGGTTTCTGAGATAAAATCGTTGTGCGAGACATAGCATTTAGATTATTAAGATTAAACGTCGATAATGTTAACACGTTTCTCGCATTTTTGGGGGTATGGTTTGGAGTTCTCACCAAGAACCTCTCAAGCACTCGTGTTGCTTGATGTGACAAGTGGTTAAATCAACCATCATAGCGTTTTTCAACTGTTATGAAAATGTTATTGCATTATGCATAGCCTTTGACTACACGCACAATTACAAGAGTATTGAGTTTGTGACATTAGTGAGCTTGAGTCGTCAGTAAGTGGGTCATTATGTGAGGCCTCCTCATAAAACTGCCGAGAGAGGGCGCGGGCTTCCCACTGGGTTAATCTGACATAAATCAGGATCTGAATAAGAAAAAAATAACTCCCCGCTTTTCGGTTGTACAGATCTTTTACTGTTGTCAAGCAGGACTCGAAATGTATAACACATGCTTGTGTTCACAGACAGACACAGAGACAGACACGCTGAAAGACATACATACAGACAGACAGACAGACAGACAGACATACAAAGCGATTGACGAGTCGACGAGTTAATAAATAAACATTTTCATGAAAAAGAAATCGGCAAGAGCCGATATTAAATCCCTAAATGACAATCTGTCATTGTTTTGCCTTGTATATGTGGAACTAACGTAAATAGAAAGTGAAATATCCTCTGTTTCCTGACAGAAATCACTTACTATTGAGGGGTGATAACGTGTAGGTAGGTAACTCCAGACCTGTAAGAAACTATTCCTGTGAAAGGCAGAGGATTGTCATGTGTTATGTTCACTGTTCATATATGCTTCATTCACATTGAGGTATATTATTAAACCTTTGGACCGTACACTGGTAAAAGTGTATTTCGAAATATGTTTCTGTTGGTGGGACGGTGAAGTACGATGTAGAACAGAAATTATTCTATTCCTTCTATAATGCTTGCGCTACTTCGTCAGTTCACATACTTGAAGCAGGTAAGATTAAAACGAATTTAGACCTCTTTGGTGATTTGAAAACATTATGTTGAGAGAGTACCCGAACACGTTGAGCGAAATAGACTATTGAAATATACTCAACAAAGTAACTACGCAATAAGCCCCAAATGCGCATGCGCAGTTGAACACTTTGAACTGCTGTCCTGGCACTACGCCAATATCAGCTGCTCTAAAAATAAATATTGATCATGATGAGGTATTTCAAAGAATTTAGAATCTGCAGGAGAAACAGGTTTAGCAAGTTAGGTAAAGGATTTCCAGTTTCCGTTGCTGCCCACAACTGCGTATATTGTGACGAGACATTTCACACAGAACATATACATACAATGGATGCCCAAAGAGGATCGTCTTTTGTTAGTCTCTTGATCATGGCTTATCTTGTGACAGTGACTTGTGAGTACTTTTATCTCAATTTTAGGTTGCTTTCGACTGTCAAATAAGCGATTCTCTTGACAGGTTTCTGAGATAAAATCGTTGTGCGAGACATAGCATTTAGATTATTAAGATTAAACGTCGATAATGTTAACACGTTTCTCGCATTTTTGGGGGTATGGTTTGGAGTTCTCACCAAGAACCTCTCAAGCACTCGTGTTGCTTGATGTGACAAGTGGTTAAATCAACCATCATAGCGTTTTTCAACTGTTATGAAAATGTTATTGCATTATGCATAGCCTTTGACTACACGCACAATTACAAGAGTATTGAGTTTGTGACATTAGTGAGCTTGAGTCGTCAGTAAGTGGGTCATTATGTGAGGCCTCCTCATAAAACTGCCGAGAGAGGGCGCGGGCTTCCCACTGGGTTAATCTGACATAAATCAGGATCTGAATAAGAAAAAAATAACTCCCCGCTTTTCGGTTGTACAGATCTTTTACTGTTGTCAAGCAGGACTCGAAATGTATAACACATGCTTGTGTTCACAGACAGACACAGAGACAGACACGCTGAAAGACATACATACAGACAGACAGACAGACAGACAGACATACAAAGCGATTGACGAGTCGACGAGTTAATAAATAAACATTTTCATGAAAAAGAAATCGGCAAGAGCCGATATTAAATCCCTAAATGACAATCTGTCATTGTTTTGCCTTGTATATGTGGAACTAACGTAAATAGAAAGTGAAATATCCTCTGTTTCCTGACAGAAATCACTTACTATTGAGGGGTGATAACGTGTAGGTAGGTAACTCCAGACCTGTAAGAAACTATTCCTGTGAAAGGCAGAGGATTGTCATGTGTTATGTTCACTGTTCATATATGCTTCATTCACATTGAGGTATATTATTAAACCTTTGGACCGTACACTGGTAAAAGTGTATTTCGAAATATGTTTCTGTTGGTGGGACGGTGAAGTACGATGTAGAACAGAAATTATTCTATTCCTTCTATAATGCTTGCGCTACTTCGTCAGTTCACATACTTGAAGCAGGTAAGATTAAAACGAATTTAGACCTCTTTGGTGATTTGAAAACATTATGTTGAGAGAGTACCCGAACACGTTGAGCGAAATAGACTATTGAAATATACTCAACAAAGTAACTACGCAATAAGCCCCAAATGCGCATGCGCAGTTGAACACTTTGAACTGCTGTCCTGGCACTACGCCAATATCAGCTGCTCTAAAAATAAATATTGATCATGATGAGGTATTTCAAAGAATTTAGAATCTGCAGGAGAAACAGGTTTAGCAAGTTAGGTAAAGGATTTCCAGTTTCCGTTGCTGCCCACAACTGCGTATATTGTGACGAGACATTTCACACAGAACATATACATACAATGGATGCCCAAAGAGGATCGTCTTTTGTTAGTCTCTTGATCATGGCTTATCTTGTGACAGTGACTTGTGAGTACTTTTATCTCAATTTTAGGTTGCTTTCGACTGTCAAATAAGCGATTCTCTTGACAGGTTTCTGAGATAAAATCGTTGTGCGAGACATAGCATTTAGATTATTAAGATTAAACGTCGATAATGTTAACACGTTTCTCGCATTTTTGGGGGTATGGTTTGGAGTTCTCATGTGACTGTGATCTAACACAAAAGCTTTCATTGTGCCATCTGAAATTACATGTTATAGAGAATGTTTGAAGTTTTAATCTTCAGCTGATCTTAAATCATATGATCACGAGATTGTATTGTATTGTGAAATAAATTTGATGAATGATATTTCACTGCATTGAAAATATAAGCTTATATTTTTCACCGGTGAAAATATAAGGTTTGAGCCGGAACTACTTTCATCTCGAGTTACTTCCCCTTGATACAAAGAGACATAATTTCATGATTACCTCCCTTGGATCGTCTGCTAGCCAAAAACAATATGGGGTTTGAGGCTTCACTCGACGAAATATAAATCGTATTCGACAAAAAGCATGAAGTAGCCTCTACATATTTTCGTGTCGTGAATCGAACACGGGTCTTCGGCGGGACGAGCGAACACTTTAACCACTAGGCTACCCGACCGCCCCTTATATATGTAAATGTATCGTAAGAGATTGTCATATTCTTGCCGAGAAATTAGTTCAGTGTTGTCTGATTTCGTTAGATTTGTTAATGAAAGATCTACCTGTGGCTTTACCAATTGCCACGGAGGAGGCAACAAAATCTGGGTGGAAGATACGTTTTCAGGTTATTTGTTGCAGAATTTATTCGTATTCCAAGTCATATGTTGGACTAGATTGATTGGAATAGTTTTATAATATTTTGTGAGGATAGTTTTTTGCGTCGTTGTTTAAGTGATCGGGATCAGTCGTTTACAAATATTGCTAATACACTTGATTAAGCTACACATCCTTCGTCTCCTAACTATGAACTCCAGTTCCAATTCAAAACTCCAAAACAGATATTATGAAATTTGGACCTCTGGAAGTATGGGTATGATATAATTGCTCCCACACCAAAACCAAAATGATCTACTATTTCATTGACCAGCTGCGTTCGCAAAACCATGGAACGTATGGCCAACAGAAGATTGACATGTAGAACTCAGAATCAAATACTTTTATCACTAATATGCAATGGGGTTTTCCTAAAACTCGAATTACCGATGACTTCTTAGTTAGATTTAAGTCATTTGTTAATATAACATGCCGACTGAGTTGAAACAATTAACCCAAATATTTTTTTCTGTCCACAGGTGCAATCAGTCCCGGGGGGCTTCTGGCTCTAAAAGCCTTTGGAAAACTTGGACCTGATTTCCTGTCATCTTTACTCTCCGGCGGTCTACTGGGTCTCATATCCTCACCTGGTGATGACAAGATGGACACAATTTTAGAAAAACTACAGGAAATTGAAGTAAGTTTTCCATATGTATTTTTCATGGCTGATGCATAGAGCTGTAAATTCGCAAATTGCATTGAACATCTAGCGTCGTCATGTAATTTTGAACCATTGTTCATATACATGTACACGGAAGGTCGTAGTGGGGCTCATACAGGTGGTATCAATGTATTAAATCAACGGAACATGAAACTGGACAAAGAGTTTACAAGGTTGTAAAATATAAACTGTATTGACTTCATATTTAATATTTCAGAGAGAGTTAGGACAAGTACACAATTCCATAGAAGAATTGAAGGCACTATCCACAAGGTCTCAGGCAGAACAAATTGAAAGTAGACTGATGGGTTATTTTGAGCGACTCATGACAATTACCAAAGCGGTGAAAACTTATCATGACAATAAAACCGAACAAGTAATAAATGATACGGCTACAGAACTGTCACTACAACGGAACATCGATGCATTGAAAACAGAACTGCATGACGTTCCGGATCTGCTGTATTCGTATCATCGCATAATAATAGGAAAGACTGTGTCATCTGGGGGAAGTTCCCCTGGTCTGGCTTGTTACTTCATTCGACACATCACCAGTAAATACAATGTAAAAGAGATCCTGGTGAAGGAATATGAATTCCGAGGTTCCTTGATGAAGTTGCAGGCTCAGTCATTTCAACTGTACAAAAGCACATGTACAAACCACGATCTGGTGTGCAATGAAAGCGGCAACGCCTTCGAGACACATCTCGAAGCTCAGGAAAAGAGGTTCCGGGAGTGTCTGCTATATAAATTGGAACAAAAGTACCAAAACACACCCTGCCCCAGTACGTATATTTATCTATTTAAAACATTTCGTTTGTGTCCTGGTGACGCAGATAACGTTGGCATATTCTAAAAATGTGTCCTGGCCATTTTAGTAAACATCTATTACATGTGTAAGATGTTATCATTGGTGGAACAATGTTCGTTTAAGAATAATGGCTCTCGTCATTCGCTTAAAAGGAGTAATGCCTATTTGCAATAGTATATAATGTATGTATACACAAGTCATTTGTATAGGTATGTACGAAACAAATTTGGTATATCGTTTCTTTCAGCACCTTCAGCTGCTACGATGCTCTCGGTCAACAGTTTGCTGGCACCCCTTGTTCTCCTCATCATTGTGTGGAGCAGGCACCGACTCCTGTAAATCTCTTTCTTTGACAAAGAAAAACGTTTTCTGTCAGTTTTAAAGAAACGTGATGAAAATTGTGAAAATTGCCATTGGGAAGGAAACTAAGAATTTTTCAAGGGTCTGGTTTTCCGACATATTCTATAAAACATGGAAGTTGTGACTGCTATTTTTCATCTATCGAATTAGTAAATTAAACAGCCAGACAGATATAGGCTTACGCATTTCGATGAGCTTTGGGTATGGTTGGGTGTAATAGAGGGGGAATGAGGTGGGAAGGTGGTTGGGATGGGGTGGAAGAATGGTTGGAATGGGGTGGGGTGGGGTAAGATGGGGTATGTAGGAACGAGAAAGGTTCATCTCCAGCCATTACTTACTAAGTGATATATTACATGTGTGAGACGCGACCAAGAGATGGGATGTTCGGTGATAGGGTGCAGTAATATGTGATATCAGAGTAAGGGGAGGGGATGTTCGGTGATAGGGTGCAGTGATATGTGATATCAGAGTAAGGGGGAGGGGATGTTCGGTGATAGGGTGCAGTGATATGTGATATCAGAGTAAGTGGGGAGGGGATGTTCGGTGATAGGGTGCAGTGATATGTGATATCAGAGTAAGTGGGGAGGGGATGTTCGGTGATAGAGTGCAGTGATATGTGATATCAGAGTAAGGGGGAGGGGATGTTCGGTGATAGGGTGCATTGATATGTGATATCAGAGTAAGGGGGGAGGGGATGTTCGGTGATAGGGTGCATTGATATGTGATATCAGAGTAAAGGGGGAGGGGGTGTTCGGTGATAGGGTGCAGTGATATGTGATATCAGAGTAAGTGGGGAGGGGATGTTCGGTGATAGGGTGCAGTGATATGTGATATCAGAGTAAGTGGGGAGGGGATGTTCGGTGATAGAGTGCAGTGATATGTGATATCAGAGTAAGGGGGAGGGGATGTTCGGTGATAGGGTGCATTGATATGTGATATCAGAGTAAGGGGGGAGGGGGTGTTCGGTGATAGGGTGCAGTGATATGTGATATCAGAGTAAGGGGGAGGGGATGTTCGGTGATAGGGTGCAGTGATATGTGATATCAGAGTAAGTGGGGAGGGGATGTTCGGTGATAGGGTGCAGTGATATGTGATATCAGAGTAAGTGGGGAGGGGATGTTCGGTGATAGAGTGCAGTGATATGTGATATCAGAGTAAGGGGGAGGGGATGTTCGGTGATAGGGTGCAGTGATATGTGATATCAGAGTAAGGGGGAGAGGGTGTTCGGTGATAGGGTGCAGTGATATGTGATATCAGAGTAAGGGGGAGGGGATGTTCGGTGATAGGGTGCAGTGATATGTGATATCAGAGTAAGGGGGAGGGGATGTTCGGTGATAGGGTGCAGTGATATGTGATATCAGAGTAAGGGGGAGGGGATGTTCGGTGATAGGGTGCAGTGATATGTGATATCAGAGTAAGGGGGGAGGGGGTGTTCGGTGATAGGGTGCAGTGATATGTGATATCAGAGTAAGGGGGAGAGGATGTTCAGTGATAGGGTTTCATAAAAATGGTATCTAACGAGAATGAGTGTAGTATTCTCTACATATGTCTCTACCTAAGAGTCTGTATTTTTGACCGAAAACGTGGTAAATGGGACGTTTATATATCGAATGTGCAGTGTAGTTGTTTTACGTTCGCTTGTGTCTTTATTACAAGACGGATACAAGTATGTTTGGTGATAACGGCTTTTAAATGGTACCAAATTTCGTTGACGACCCGACGATGTCAGAAGGAAGGAAAGAAAATAGCTTTTGACATAAGAAAATAGTCATTTTTCGTTCGGAGCCAAACGTATTGAAGGTATTCTTATAAGTTCCTGTGTTCAATAACAGGTGTTAGGAAGAGGTTTCCTCACTCTTCAGTGAGGAAGGGTCACGGGTGGCACAGTCATCTTGAGCGCCGCAATTGGCCTTGCAGATCAGAGTTGCGTTCCTAATGAACCTGAGCTTGTCACCGCCTAATCCGTGATGGAGTGTTCCTTTAAGTGGTAAAGACAAGTGTCGCTTTGAAATTTCTTTCCAAATTACGAAGGTGGGGATGGCTGAAATATTATTCAGAGAGATAAAACTAGGAATTATCCCTTTATGTGGTGTGTTTTACATCTGTGTTTTACTTAAATTTATTGCTCAAAGGCCTTATTGCATAATTAATGAAAGTGCCTTCTGGCTGTTTTTTGTGTGTAAATATTAGAAAACGGGAAAAAGTGACGTCTTACAGTATTATGTAACTACACATGCCATATGTCAACGATTGGATGTAGTGAGAAGTTACATAAATTATGAAATGCGGGAATATTAAAAACATGTTAAAGGTCAAATTGATAACGCCCTTCGGACATAGTTCAGAACCAGTATCTCTTGTTGTCCTGGTCAGTTAGAGTTAGGCAAAGAAATTGACGAGGTTGACACCTGAATCCGTATCTACGGCTATGTCCACCATCAACTCTTGTGGAATCAGACGTACCACGTATACATCCGTGGGATACCAGCAATTGATTAACTATTCTTCTTCATACTAAATTTTACTTGAACATATCGTTATTATCAATGCCTCGCTGGTCAAAGATAACTATTAAAGTGTGTCGTTATAGCGTCACTAAAGTTAACAATAAAACTGTTTCTCCTTTTAAATCTGAAAATGAAATCTGTAGTGGCTAGAAGAGGTATAAATACGGACGACAGCCATTCACACATCACGTTGTGGTTGACAAGGGATCTCACTGTCGTTTCACTGAGGTCAGGAACGTTTACTGTCTTGTACCATGTTACGTCTTACCTATATCCTGTTTCCCTTGACAATACATGTAAGTGCATGTGGTAAATTGAACATGTCATACCTTTGCGAATACTTCAAATCTTCCCGTTGTAATACTGCTGTGAATCGATTATGTTAGTCCTTTATTATGTTGTTTCCATTAGAATATGTTCTGTAACTAACACAGTCTATATCTTGTGTGCATGCCCACTGTAACTAATGTAGTTAGTTAGAGTGTGTCGGGTGTACTATATTCAATCACTATTCAATATATGTAAATTTGTGTATAATAATGATCCTGTTATGTATAATTCAGTATGTACCAACCACCATCAGTTCTTCTACACCTTGTTCATCTAATGTTCGTCGTCCATATCTGCATCTATAATTGATTGTTAACATTCTGTAATTGATGGTAAGCATTCTATTTTTGACTGCTATCACCCGTAAAAGATTTACGTTAAAATTGGCAGACACGAAATGGAAGTAAACTAGTAACAGCGGTCAAAAAGGGTCGAGTAAAATAGTAACAGCGGTCAAAAAGAGTCGAGTAAAAAAGTAACAGCGGTCGACCCTTTTTGACCGCTGTTACTGTTTTACTCCACTTTTTTGGACCGCTGTTACTATTTTACTCGACCCTTTTTGACCGTTTACCGTTCGACACCTCTGACAGCTTACATTTTCATTGCAATTAGTTTGTGTACATGTAGATAAAAGGTGTTGCAACTACAGAATATGAACAATTTTCCACCTTATTGTATGTGTTAAAACTTGGCACCGATTGGTTCATTCCTCTAGCTTCTATGCGTGTGAGCTGTTTAGCGGCATACGTGGTAAAGAGACTATTCAGAATGAGAATACCCAACGGCACTTTGCAAGATTCATTCAAAGTCTGGACCAAAATCTTCATAGACCATAGCGAATCTAGGAATGTGGACACAAACAGGATTCATATACAAATGCAGGCTACTCCTCCTCGGAAGACTGTGGACAAACGCATGCTACTCTGCTATGAAACATAATATGTGCCTACTTAGCCTCAGTCAATGCTCATGCTATCAAAACTAGCGCTAGCATATGTGACACATTGATATTAACTGCTTGTAAATATAACCTTTAAATGTCATTTTGAACTTTATCATTACTGAAATATTTCTTTGCGAAATTGAACGGATAAGAATTGTATGTGATGCAATATCCTTAAATGAGGAAGATCGATGGAAACTCACATTGTCCCTGAGAGAGGATCTGGTCAGATTCATGTGAATTCGCTGAAAGAACTTAAACTACATATATTATGGAGACTGGCACTTACTTATCCTTATGTTAAGTATTGCATCCAATACTTTCTTAAGATAGCTTCCAGACCCATTACATCAAGAGAATGTTTTAAATGTGGCATACATACCTTTGATTATGACAGGCATTTTACACCGTGAATATTTTATAAATGATCGAAATTAATTCTTCTCCATCTTTATTAACAAACAGGATATTGTAAGTTAAGTTAAACTTCTGGAAGAGAATGATATGCTCGCACTATCCTGGGGCTCAGTGAAAATACAATCTAGAGTAATGAACCAGCGTACTTGGGAAAGTATATCATTAATATTCTGTGAATATATCATAATTTCTTTTTTTTTTTATTATATTAAACATAGTTTACTTATGTTGTATCACAATAGTTCTCATTTGTCTATATAGTTGATGATGGATATATATTAATATTCAATTGGTTAATAATGCACATATTCATGTAAATACTAGCACCACGCATTTGCTTTGAGTATATCAGAAGACATGATTTTGCAACTGGGTTGAAGTTGAAATTTGTACGACTTTAGAGGAATGGGGAGTCTTCGTTAATATCGTGAAAACTTACTGCGGTCGATATTTACTTATCACTGAAAAAAGTTTTGACTCAGATGTCTCTTCGTAAATTATACGGGAGATAATTTTGTCTGTGATTTTACGTTTATTTATTGCTTAAAAGTCTTATTTTGTGATAAATGAAAGTGCCTTATGGCTGTTTTGTAAATATTAGAAAATAGGAAAAGTAGACGTCTTACAATATTGTATGACCATACATGCGATATGTCTAACTGACCAGGGCCCACCTGCACAAAGCTATCTCAGCGCTACGACTGTCTTAAGTCTATGTTAGAGTATGGGAGATACGACCATCGTAAGATCGCTTTGTGCAAGAGGGTCCAGGTCAATATGTATCAACCATTGTCAGTCCTTCTACATCATGTCCATCTGATGTTCGTCGTACATATCTGTATCTGTAATTCATTGTAAACATTCTATAAGTGATTATAAGCATTATATTATTGACTGTTGACACCCCTTAAAAAGACTTAAGTAAGAAATGGTCGAGTAAAATAGTAAGAGCAGCCAAAAAGTGTCGATTGAAATAATAACAGCGGTAAAAAAGGGTCGGGAAAAAATAGTAACAAAACGGGTTATGCTTAACTCGACCCCTTCGTGTTTACTGTTCAAAACCTTAGATATTTTCAATCTGAATATTTTGTGTTGCAGCTTCAGAGTATTAACAATTTTGACGAAGATTGTGAAACCTTTCAGAAAAAAAATATATTAATAACGTCACTATTGAGTGAATGCATATGTTTTAGCGACCAGTAGATGTTAGATCGTCAAAAAGGAGAAATAACATGGCCAAAATTTCTCTATCAGCTACAACTTAATAACATGTGTGTTAGCAGACATGATTTGAATCTGAGTTGAAGTTGAAATTTGTATTACAACAGCGGAATTGGACATTTTGGTTAGTGTCACGAACACACGCTCACTAAGTAGCGTAGGCCAGAGGCCCATGCTACATCGAAGTGAATACAGAAATGAGAGAGATATATACATGAAACAAGACAGGTTGTACATAAACACGAAGATCTGAGGCGCAGAGCTTTGTAGTCTAAGTGGCTAAGTTTTGCAGGGTAGACACTTTCACTGAAGATAGTAGCAAGTTAAACTTATGTTGGGATGGATTTACATAGAATTACATAGGTATATGCTTATATATTAGTATCTACACTGCATATTAGAATACAATGATATTCGTCCTCGATATATTGTCATTTGCTTTAGGCACTTTAATTTTTCTGCCAGTCTCAACTATGAGCTGGTGTCGGCAGCATCCTAATTGAGCAAGTGCAACCTTAATTTGAGAAGTAGAACCTCCTTTTGAAATGAATATATGAATGAGTAGCAGGTAGAAATGATATGGCATTGTGGTTGTTAACCTTACAGCGCCTAACGGGCAGCTTGGGTTGTATACTCCCAAGAGAGCTGAGAATGATTCTTGAGTGCACATTGATCCAGTCACCGGGGTAATAATAGCGCTTTAAGCATACCCCTGAGTAGTTGCCTAGTCGAACCCACCGGGAACTTTTCGGAGTATGTGAAGACTCCCCAACACTGCAGCCTTCTGCATTTCCCAGATTGTCAAAAGGGCTGTATTCCTGGTAGCAAACCCGGGTACTCTCCCAGTGTCAGTCAACAGATTGGGAGGTACCAAACCTAAGGCACCGAGAACAATGGGGAGTCGGACAACTTGTTACTTGGGATGCAATCGTGACATTTCGAAAGGGAGGTCCCCATATTTGCCATGTTTTTCCTGTATCTTGCCAATCACACTGGTGTCAAAAGGGACAGAAAATTCAATTACACAAACGATTTTATTGGATTTATCAAAAAGGACAAGATCAGGTTTGTTGACCCGGAATTCCAAAGAATTTCGTATTTATCATTTTCCATGACGCCCTCTACGTATTCTGGGTCGTACCATGGATGGACCTCTGTGTGTCAAAACCACAAGCATTGCGAAGACGGTAATAAAAGGTTCGACCCACTCCATCATGTCGCTTAAAATACTGTGTTTGTGCCAAAGCTGGGCATCAACTGTCAATGTGCTGGACAGTCTTATTAAATTCATTAGATAATCTACATTTCATATTATTATTATTTTTATTATTATTATTATTATTATTTACAGATTAAAATACAAAATGCAGCAAAGAGGGTTTGGGTGATCCTGGCACAGTCAGGCTGGTTAAGCTCATCCTCAGCTCAGGGCCCTTGCTCCCTTTACACGCAGCCCAGACAGTGAATGGGACTTCTCCCAGAAAGCGCTGCCTTGTCCCACATCCTTGGCTCGTTTAAGAAAACTTTGGAATGCCTTGTTTTCATCATGAGTCTTGACATGCTTCACAAGAGGATCATCAGACAAGTAAATATGTGCAAAAGTGCATAAAACAATTCTATCCTGAAGAGCCTCCACATTAATCAAACCACGCCCTCCCATCATTATTGGTAAATATAAGCGATTGAGGGAAGAGCGAGGGTGGTGGGATCTATTGTCTGACATGATTCTTCGTGTGAGGGTGTCAATACCCTGAATTTCTTGTTTCGTCCAATCACAAACCCGCCCATCTCCATTGTTACCCCACCCATCGTAACTGTCATCACATACCCGCCCATCTCCAATGTTACCCCGCCCATCATCACTCTGATTACAAACCCGACCAACTCAAGAGTTACCAGACATTATCCACACTCTTTAACGCCTTGAGTAGGTCTTCAGGTAAGGATTATTCCCAGCAGCTTCATTGGCTCCTTGGCAATTACGACGTTTTATGTAATGTTTAAAAGTGGTATAAACACGCAATTGGTCTTATGTTAAAGTAATGTTTACGGAAGTATAAGTGACAAGACCATTTCCTCATTCGTACGAAGTCTCTGTTAAGAGGACAAGAACTAAGATTCCTTGATCCATGGGGTATTTGTCACTAAACGTGTAGACCATAGTTCAAATGACATCTCTGTCTTCAAATATTTCGGATACTTTTCTTTAAAATGGAAGCAAATGCCATCTGAAGTTTACTGAAAAGAATATGCTGGACTCATTGACAACATCTGTTCAGTGATAAGTGGGGATAAGACATTTAAGCAAACACTAGCAACGGATTACTTCAACTTTCCATCAGTCATCTTTTCCTTTATGCCGAGCAACATCTCAGCAGCTCCAGCCTTTGGTGATTCTACATTTCACAATGTTTGAGATACAAGCGAGCATGCACTTTCTACAAAGATTTCAAAGAGCGTCATAACACTCCGTCACATCTTCGTTATCCTCCTGGTATAGAGAGTTCCAGCTTGTCCACATCCTTGTTTACAGTTGTTGTCGGACTACGTGGTTCGAGAAGCTTACAAAATCTATAAAAAGCTGCTTGTATCTATACTAGCGAGACGAGGACTATGCAACGCCTTCCTACTATGGCTATTGTGACAAATACTGGACATAAGTGAGTTCACTGACTTTTGTATTCGGGGCTCTTATGTAATCAGTAAATGGCCACAAACGATCAATGGATCAGTAAATAAACGATTCCATAAAGCCTTCGCAATCACCAGTATAGTGTACATTGGTGTCTTCATACACACCCTCAACACACTTTGTCCTTTAATTATATATAAATAGAATCAAGAACTGCAGCACGTCTTTGACAAGCCTTACACAGTTGCCAGCTGTATGACGGCGATTTGTGTCAAATTAACTGTAGGTGTCAAATCTCAGACAGCCTACTTCAAAACTCAAAGCCGTATTTAAAATCATACGTAAAATTCCGCCACAACCAAAAACCAGAACAAAAAACTCAAAGATCTCGGATGCATGGGCCACATTTACCTTGTATGAAGTGTGGCGAAATAAAATTACAATTAGCTGAAATTAAAAGTGTTATAAAAAACGGTAGAGTAAAGAAAACGAAGATGTATTTTTAAGAATATTGATATTTCCTTTAATACATTTACACATTTTGTACTAATCGAAGCTTGACATTTGGACCATGAAGGAAAATGGTAACAATATTATCGGAAATATGGAACAAGCATATTAAAATTAAATAAAGCATTTAAGTTACAATGTTCACAAAGTGACTGGTCAGGTGGGACAAGGTTTTACAATAACGTTGTTTCTGAAACTTTACACTGTGATAATGAAAACGAAATATAGCTAATATTCCCATCACATCTTTCATTTCAACATCCACGTAGTTCGGGTTCTAATGCTGACTTTAAATGATCAGTAATTTGAGAGAAATGTTGAGTTACGTATTGTCTGGACCCACTGCAGTATGTTTATGTCTATTGAAAACGTCAACGCCAGAAGCGTTGTCATAGGGCGTTGTCATAAGGCGACTTAGTGATTGATATTATAGGAATGGACAACTGAAAGTGTATTTTAAAGTATGTATGAAGTGATCAATGTTTCTACAATCCTGAACTAGCCATTCATATGGAAATCGTGCAGTGAAGAGCAGCAATCCTACATGTGAAAAACATTCGTTATTTCGATTATCATCGTGGACTTTTAACATGTTAATAAAGGCATTTGGATTATGTATTTTCATCCGTTCGAATGTTCCAATCCATCAGATTCTTCATCAGTTATCAGTTATACATCTTGAATACGTTACACAAAAGTTAGACAAGCGATCCCTGTGGTTCCTAGAATATCGTGGAATGTCTATAACTAAAATAATCAAATATGTGCCAGTAAACAGTCGAGAGATCATCTATTTTTTGATAATTAGGACCCTAATAGTCGTTTATGTGTTTCTTTTATTTCACCTCAACTGTAGCCCTGTGTGTTTTCCTGGACAGAATAAGTACCCAGGATCAGAGAACACCCTATGTACCGTCTAATGAGGATCTGATATTCTGTCTGGCCACGAATCAGTTTTATCAGCCTAATTTGATGTAGCTTGAATATTGCTTACAGCAACACAAAACTGCCTTCACTAATCTATCCAGGCGAGACTTGATTGTGCTGGGACATATACTCACATTAAAATGCCTTGAACACGTATATTAACAACAGCCATACCATCATAGAAAACAACTATTTGCTAATCATATGTACAATAGATTCTTGTTCCTGTTGTTTTATCCCAGTATAAAATCTGAGCTAAAGTCTCGATTCAAAATTGAGTTCATAATGTTGTGGTACGTTTGCGAAAGATGATCCACCAGGCTCAAGGTTCACCTTAGCTCCAGGTGGGAGGGATACTTTGAAATGCCTCATGATTCCAGCCAGCAGAAGATGCAGTTCCGGCTTGGCCACGCTCTCTCCGAGACACACTCTTCTTCCAGCGGAGAACGGAAGCCAGCTCTCTGGTTTGGCAGCCATCTTGCCATCATTGTCAAGGAACCGGTCTGGATTGTATACTTGCGGGTCCCGCCACTGTTCTGGATCCTGGTGCAAAGCGTAGTGGTTGATAACGACGGTGGTTCCTTTGGGAATGTCATAGCCACCTGAAAAGGTCATGTTTGGAATACATTCATATGCACTGATAACCGACAATCACGTTAGTAAGTTATAACTTGTCCTGTCCTAAAATAGAAACTAAATGGTAATAATGACTATTTTTAATTACACCCACCCACTACTCTCCCTACGCACCAACACCACCTCCTCCCAACCCTAGAATATCAAACGATCATCTCAGTGCAGACAGTCGTCTGTTGTTGACGGGATCTCTTTAAGATGTCTGCTGGTATGATTTTGTTTTCACTGTGCAACTCGAACTCTCGTGATTCACGAACTACTTAAAATTCAAACTGTCAAATATTCCGCGTAATATAGCAAACAAAAAGTGAAATAATTCCAAGTTAATGACAGGTCACGTATGCCTCAAGATGAAAACGTGAAGGAGAGCGGCGCCATATCGTTTTTTAAACTATGACGTGACTGTTTACTCGTGTGGAATGTCGCTTCATGTTAGATATCGAGGGAATATATGAAGGCAGTCGTTCATCCATAAAACAACAGCTAACTAATTATAACAAATACAACGATAATGTTTTTTTTTTATAGATTAAAGTCTTATCCGCATCTGGTTAAACTGTTGTAACACTTTAAACACTATTAATAATACTTTCATGCAAAACCTGTTAATAAATTGTCAACGCCCTTCTTTGTTCAATTGAAAAGTTAGAAAATAATCATCTAGATTCTAAAAATAGATACTCAGCCTATCGACCAGTGGACCCCCGTGACTTACCGACTTTCGTATCACACAGTGCTTTGTGGGGAAGTCCGCTTGGCACCACGGTGTGTAACCTCATGCTCTCGTGAAGCACAGCGTCAGTGTAAGGGAGACTACTCCTGTCTGATACACTGGGGAAACGACTGGAACCTGGACATTCATAATTCTATATTACTCATGAGACTAAACTAAAGATAAACTCAAGCCTATACTTGCTCGTGCTTTCAACAACATCCCCCGGGCAGGACCTTTGATCCCCAGTTGTAACCATAACTACGTAACACGTCACTAGATCTTTCGTACGTATAGGTACATCTTCTACAAAACGTGGCCGACGTGGTCAGACAGGAAGAACGTATGAGATGCCTTCGCATCACCACAACTACGTCGACGATGACCTTTTTACATCCAAGTGGTTCGTGTAAGTGACAGAACGTAATTTTTTCTTATGTACTCTCCCGACCATCATGCGGCCTTTACCTTAATAAACATGGCCGCTGAGCACGGGTGGCCCAGTCGTCTAAGGTCCCGCAATTCGCCATACAGAGTTGTGTCCCTTGGGCACGCCAGAAACCTATGCATGTGGGTTCGAACCCCGGTTCGCCACGATTATGTTTCTAGGTTTGTCAGCACCATACCCGTGCTCGTAGGTTTCACCAAAGTGGTAAACGTCTGAGACCTGCATCACTTCGGGCTTTCCTCCCACATTAAGCTGACTCACTCACTCATATGAGCGTATCATGACAACGTATCATAACATCAGCCAATACACGTATCAAAGTGTCATAATTTAGGAGAGAAACCTACTGTGTTTTGAAATTTGATGTAGTCCCACTATAAAGTAGATACCTCCTATTTTAATTTGGAACCAGGCGCTTTCGAAACACAGCAGGTTTATCTCCATTTTACCAAGAGGGCAACAACGCTTTGAAACGGTGCTTTTTTGCAAAGCGTAACAACACAGGATACAAAGGTCCGCAATCTTAGAACATTACGAAAAGTGGTCACAGGTAGTTATATATGCAACAAATATTACTAAAGTTAAAGATTAAAAATCCCATAGTCTTGAGTAGATTAAAATAAGTGTTCAAAACACATAGTTTTTCAAAAAGAAGTTGACAAATAACCCTCCAAACGTAGTCCATAGATAGATGTTTTAATTTCATCGCAAACTGTGCACTGTTTGGATTAGCCAAGTCATTTCTTGGAAATCAGTGAGAGGAATCATTTCTTGGAAATCGAACATGCCATTTCCATTGTCGGGGTGACAGGTTGTACAACTATTTAAAAAAAATGCTAAACGGATATATTTCAACAACAAACTTTATGAATTAATATTCTACTATTTATTTTACATGTGTAAGTGTTATCGGTTAGTTAGCAATTACCCCGCGTAAATAATAAAAAATCCAAATAAAAGGCTCTCCACCCCCAACTTTGACGTGGCAGAACTTGACCTACATCACGGTTACTCACACCTCACAACTGTCAATGGCTGCCAATGTTGTTGTTTACCTAACACACGAAGCAAGATGACAACCCTGATCTATGATGTGGTTCAACATTAACATGTGGAGTTACTGGGAGTGAGAATGCGGGTACAATATGATTACCAATGGAAGTGAGCATGATTGAACTGCCGCGTTTTAGGCTGCAGACGAGCCGGGTATATTGACCCGAGGAAACTGCATGATTTGACCTGTCAATTTCAAGATTTCACGGATTCAAAGCCAGCGTGTGAAAGCAAAGATACAATTGTTGCCCAGAAACAGTGGTTCGTGTATGATTTTCTTAATTGTGCGTGTTCTGAAATGCATTTCATCAAGTATTATAAGCCGTGACTTAATTGGTGATGTCGGGACGTTGTTTTCGTGGCCTTTCGAAGGGACGATCGAATGTTTTCTGATGGATTTTCAAATCCGCTCTTCCCAAATCCTTACGGTGGTGGTTGACGGAGTTGGCAATGAAAATCGAACTCAAAAATGTTTGTAAACATCATGTTGTCATGAATAAAGTTTCTTCAAACACATTTTTATAATGTATATTTTACTTTCATAATCGTTTGTTTCAATGACGATCAAAACTTTCATTTGTATGCAAAAGATATGCCCTCGTAAAGCCTTCAGTGTAATCTCATCACCGAAGCATTCAGGATTACGGCCAAGAACAACATATCGTCGCCAAAAACATCCGATATCAAACTACCGTATTTCCTCTATTAGACACAAGGCCGCCAGTTAGTTTCGCGAAAGCCATTGGCGTGGCATGCATTAGAAACATGGATTGTATTAGAGACCAAGCGTGTAATAGAGGAAATATCGATACGTTTTACAGTTCATATGGGGGTGATCGGTCGGCAGCCATTTTTATGAATCGATATTTAGGCTCTCGATGTATTCATACGCACATTTTTGTGTGAAAAGGCCTAATATATTTTATAGGGGTTTCCGTAGCAAAAAGGAATTCTCCCTTTAAGCAATCAGAATCAAGCATTCATCAATAGTCATGGTAGAATACACCATATCATAATACCACCTATTACAATATCAGCGTATGAACATGTAACTTGTCGTCACCATACCGTATAATATCAGGGTATGAACTTACCCAGGGCTCGGTCGACCTCCGTGTGAAGCTTGTCCTGGATGTCAGGGTGCTGAGCCAGTTCCAGTAGCGTCCACAGCAGCGTGAAGCGAGAGGTGTCCATCCCGGCTGCAGGGATACAGTATAATCACTTCAAGTATATCATTAAAGGAAATGAATAAGGAGCTTAAATTCATCAAAATAATTATATGTTAGCCAAACATAGCTAGACCTTTGAGATTTGTGGCACTCCCACCACCACAAATTGTAAATATAGGTAAGTATTTTCAGTGTCCGACACTGTATCTAGTTGTCTATTCTGCCAGATTTTACTGATGGAGAGTCACAAGTGCGTTACACTGAGAAATAAGGTATAAGTTTACATCACTTTTTAGCTACTTCCTGTCTGTGCAGATGACGACATGGGACACAAATAATGGGTACCATATTTTTAAACATGAGGGGAATCGAATATGAGCATAGGTGTCACCAACAGGGCCAACGCAGTTTATCCAAACTGATAGGGATCATTTTTATTCTGAGGTGTGGGGTGTGGGATGATTTTGGAATCAAAATAACTCCTTCGTGACAATAGTGGAAACGAAAACTCCTCGCCAACATAACATTCTCCTACGAATGTTGAATGGTCGGTCTCTTCCAGATCGGACAATGAAGGTCATAACAAGGTTAAACCATGTCTTTCGGGAGGAGGTGCCAAAAGTTTCCTGTCCGATACAAAAAAGTTATGTTAAACTGTATTCCTATCCGTACAGGTACAGACTCACGTGGGAACGACTTAACAGTAACAAAATGTTGAACTGAAGTTTGAAATATATACCAGAAAATATGTCAGAGAGAGTCTGAGTGATATGGCGGTCACTCATCTGTGACATCACGTCCGGGTCCTCTTCGTCACGGGCTTCTTCTTGAGCCAGTAACAGGGCATCACAGAAATCACGGATGTTATCTGTTATGAGAACATAATGAACAGAACGATTGGCATAGGCGTTAATACTGTTCCTATATAGCCATGTGCAGGGCACAGTTTTTTGCATGACAGTGAATGAACCAACACGCAGTCTACGATCTGGGTCCAAATTACAGCTATCAGTTCCAGTTACCATAACCAACATTTTCTCTGTCACAGCCTAACTTCTGTGGAATGCAATGAAAGTTACACTCAGTTGCACTAGAACTCTTGAAACACCACGCAGACATTCAAGAACATATCTAATTGCGGAAGCAAATGATATTTAGAAGCATGTTGTGATGTGTACAATTTGTGGGAACTTTTGTATTATTAGAATTACCCTAAACGGAACAAAAAGACCGAACAACATTATGCACCTTTAGATATGGTCTGTCGATGCTTGTCAATTTCTTTATTCAAGTTATCAAAGAACTCCTCCAAGACTTTTATTACAGTTTTCAGCTTCTTGGTGTGGAAGAGACGAAGAGGGGGGATTATATCCTCAAGAAAGCCGTTGCCGAGGTCGTCCAGGAAGGAGTCTAAAATGCGCAACATCTCTTTGAAGTAGTTGTCGTCAACGTCGCATCTGAAAGTGTGGTTTAGGTGAGTGAGTGAATGAGTTGGGTTGAACGCTGCTTTGAACAGAATTTCAGTTATATCACGGCATGTCAGATTAATGTGGGAGGAAAGCCCGACGTGATGCAGGTCTCAGACTTGTACCACTTTGGTGAAACCCACGAGCACGGGTATGATGCTGACAAACCTAGAAATATAACCGGGGCGATCTAGTTTTCGAATCCACGATCATAGGTTTCTGGCGAGCCCAACTCTGCACAGCGAATTGCGACACCTCAGACGACTGGGCCACCCAAAGGTGTGAATATGTTAAAGACAGGGCTACCCTATCCTGTCAGAAGAGCAACCGAACGTGTGAGTCTTGTTTAACGCCGCCTTGAGAACTTCAAGTATTTCAGGTATATAACAGCCTATGAGATTCGTGAAGGAGGAATGCTCGAAGTGATTCAAGACCCAGATTTATCACTTTGGTAAAACACACGAGCAGGGTTTGGTGCTTACAAACCGGGTTTCTAGCGTGCATAAGACATGCAACTCTGTGTTTATAAAATTGTGCGTCCCCACTCCTTCATGCTGGAGGAAGGAAAATACATTAATATATTACAATAACAACTTACAGTATCACATCATACATTCCCCTCTATCATATCTAGACATGGTTGATTTCCCCTTCTAATGCTTGTGAAAAGGACAGCGAGAAACATAACCTGGGTAGAGGTATTCAGAACATGTCTCCTCCCACATTAAGCTGACACGCCGTGATCTACCTGGAATGCTGTTCAAAAGGCGTTAAACCCAACTCATTCACGCACTCACTCAAGAACAAGTTACCTTAACTTAGTAGCTATTCTGTAGGTCCTTGCATGAGACATTCCAGCATGTTACATCTGTGTTGAGGATTCTATTTAATGCCATTATTACCAGAGGACTCAATGTTAGATATATGGATAATGTTCCACTCACGTGACACTGAAGCAGATATTGTTGATGATGTTGAACACAATGAGGGAGACAACGTGATGAGGATTGAATGGCCCCTCCATCTCCTGTATCAGCTCTATGCCTTTAGTGAGGGAGCGCTCTATCCCCTGGTCTAGGCGGGTACCCGTCATGTAGTGTCTGTGCAAGGAGAGAGAACATCTTGACATGATAGGAGCGAATGATTTAAAATGCAAATTTAAAGTTGAATCGGCAATATCACAGGCATAGAGCGATTAGAACAAATTGTGGATTTACATTCAAATCATAGACAGTAAAACAATCAGTGGGTAAATAATCACAGGTTCACAATAAAACAACATCGATTGACGTACATTGTAAGTAAAACATATCTTGACATCAACTACAATGAAAGGCAAGTTGGCAATACACATTGCTCACAATTTAGATTTTTAAAACAAGCCATATTATTCAGCCACATATTCAACATCCTTTTTATGCTGTCCAACCTCCTTCATACATTTAAGAATCAAATGCTGGCTTTCAAGAGTAAAGATATCTTTCGTATTTGCTGGTTCCTTATCTGAATTCCCTTACAAATCTCGTATGTCATTTGTCTAGGAGGAGTTTTTTCTCATTACCTAGCAAAGAATTAAGACAACAAAATATCTTCTTCTTAATTTAAAGCTAAAAGTTCATACTGCCGTAATTATTCATGTTAATAATTATAAACATGATAAATTGTTAGACATTTTGGGGTCATTTTTGAAATCTGAATTTGCTCACTAAAGCCATGAATGGCAACACACCTCAATATTATCAGCAATAATTTAGCAAGTCTGCGAAATGATACATGATGTGAGTATCTCTCTTATATCAAATAGCTCACTTCAATGCTTTTGAAGCCAGCTTCCTGTGTAGTTTCCAAGTAGGGCTGTAGTCTCCGAAGGCGATACTCCTCCCTCCGTCACTGAGAAGTTGGGCTGGTAAGAAACATCATATACATGTAAGTGTGTGTAAAATTGCGCATTTACTCTTTTCCTGATTCATGATATATGTGCCAAATGATCGGCATTTAATCGAAACATATTCATGTACGTCAACTACAATTCACGTAGGCACACCTGTCATTTATGAAATAAATTGGTCATTCAACTGATGGGTTTTAGCTATTTCTCTATCGCTTCTTACCATGACTGGAAGTGTAGTAGTACCCCCACGTATTATGATACACGGTAAAATTGCGAAATTTGAATAAAACAAAGGATAAAATCAGCAGGTTATTTCTTGCATGAAATGTTCTTGTTGAGTCGGCATGGATGTACAGACGGTATGGACAGAATGTGATGAAGCCAAAACGTCCAGATGTGCAGATTGATAAAACCAACTTGATAAACGATAATATTATAAAGGCAAAATGAAGCATAACGTTTATGATATCGTTGAGTGTGAAATAGTAACGGTTAATCCGCTCAGTATTACATGTATAAGACTGGGGCCGCCCTGCAAAGTCCGCCTGTCGTTTAACAAGTGCCTCCATCACAACGTCTATATTGTTGAGAGCTACCATTGTCATTGGTCCTGTAATGAGAATACTTTTGATTATTATACAACATATTCCACTGATAAATTTCAAATTAATCCTTACATTTAAGTAATGTGTTAACACTCGATATATTGTTGCTGTTATATGCATATATACTCAGCGTCATTATTGATGAGTCACACAGATAAAATATAAAAGTATGAAAAACCCATCGCATTTTCAATTCACTGTTCACGCGTGTGTTTTGAGTAGCTTTTCCAAGACCTTCATTTTTCATTGTTTTTAATAGTCCATGTCAATGTTACCAGTTTCCTAAAATTATTCAGTAAGTGTGATGCAGGCATAAACAACACGTTGTTCAACTCTCATCACATGGTCAACACACTCAGACCAATTGGACCCGTGAAAATGGGGGTAGAAAAGGTCTTCAGCAACCCATGCTTGCCGTGACAAGGCGAATATGCTTGTCGTAAGAGGCGACTAACGGGATCGGGTGGTCAGGCTCGCTGACTTGCATTTTTGGTTGATGCATGTCATCGTATCCCAATTGCGTTGATCGATGCTCATGATATCAATCACTGGATTGTCTGGTCCAGACTTGATTATTTACAGACCGCCGTCATATAGCTGGAATATTGCTGAGTGCGGCGTTAAACAACAAACAAACACACAAACAAACAAACAGAGCAATTGACGCTTGTTCGAAGTTCATGTTAGACAACCTAGATGCCGAGGTGACCCATTAATAATGACGCTCGTATATATTCTTTTTAGGTTGGTCAAAGAAGCACAAAAATATTCCCCCGAACAAAATACCAAATACACCATGCAACAGTATTTAAAGAAGAAATTGAATATGCGTGTTTTTCCATACGGGAAACTAGGCATATATCTGTTACCATCCATACATACTGCTCAGCGTTGTTTTTTTTTTATATTCTGAGCCTCCTGTTGAGAATTGAATAGGATTGACTTCTCCGATATGTTACGATGTATGATATCATACGATATTGTATCGGCACATACGAATTGTATTCTTCACTACAACTTCTTCATATTCTGTTGATTCTGAGTTTCGAGTTCTCGATTATACAGTGTTATATAATTCCATTCTATCTATACCTTGACCACCACAGATTCCTATCGGAAGTGACATGACAAACTCCATTTCTCTCATCACTTTGTCTCGCTCATCATGTCATTTGATTTGACAGGTCATTCGAATCAGGCTCTAAACGAAGCTATGTTTAAGCATAGGTCCAGGGTATATGTCACAATGAAAACCTCGTCATTTAGCTGGACTATTGCTGAATGTGACGCTAAACAACAAACAAACATGAATGACATGAAGATACAATACAAGATGATATAATACAAGATGGAGGTTTTGATAGCTATTTAGAAGCTGGAACAACATGAATACTGACACTGTGCATGGATAACAGCTTCTTTAGTCTTTGTGCCAACGTTTCAGTTCTACTTCTTGGCTCTTTAAGTCTGAGGTCTTCTACTCCTTGCCCGTTTCCCTCTGAGGGCTACATGGGTGCACGAGTGGCCCAGTCGTCTAAGGAGCCGCAATTTGCTGTGCAGAGTTGTGTCCCTTTGGCACGCCAGTAACCTGTGATTGTGGGTTCGAATTTCGGTTCACCCGATTACATTTCTAGGTTTGTCAGCACCATACCCGTGCTCGTGGGTTTCACCGAAGTGGTAAACTCGCCGTGATATAACTGGATTACTGTTAAAAGCGGCGTTAAACCCAACTCACTCACTCACCGAGGGCAACTTCTTGCCCTTTCATCAGCAGCCCTGACCCGTCGTAACAAAGTATAAAGATGTTGTTATCCTTACAACAGTGGCATGTATTCAAGTTAGCGTTTATAGCTGACGACATATTTAAGTTTTCAAGCGTGGATAAGTGTCAGTGAGTGTGTGAATGAGGATGTTTTTATCCCACTTCGCAATATTGCATCAACATCACGGCGGGGACACCTGAAATGGGCTTCACATATTGTACCCTTGTGGGGAATAGGCCTTTCGGCGTGACGAGCAAAACGTAACCACCTCCCGACAACAGGTAACTGTTTACTTACCCATATTAAACCTCACAACAGGACCATACTGAGCTGTCCACTCCGTTATCTTCTCGTAGATAGTTGCGTTCCGGAAATCTGGTGGTTTTAATACATTCTTTTAAAAACATGTTCTCAGCGGGGACAACTTTTGTCCCTGGCTAATGCTAATTATGTCCATACGAAATTGTGTTTCTAAAATTACAGTCAGTACAAGTGTTATAACATTTACAGCAAACACATACTGAAATAAATGTTACCACTTCAAACTGATATATGTATATTGTTTAACTGTCTCTATTTTCATAAGCATGACTTATCTATTGGTAATCTCTGCTGACAGCAGTCCATTGTACGATTCCGACTATACCAAAAACATGTGTTAATGAATAACTATCAATTAGTGATGACACCAGGCGTGCAAGAAAATGGGAATGTGTCCTCTTTCATTAATATCACCCTTCACACACACACGTAAAGGTAAGTTAAGTGAAACGTTATAACTTTTTCTAAGATAGACTTTATATTTGGTGCCCGGAAAATACGTAGGAAGCGATTGATATTCTTTTTATCATTACATTCAAAGCTAACTCACTCAGACACCCTTATTCTCTCTCTCTCTCTCTCTCTCTCTCTCTCTCACATACACTCACACACACACACACCCACCCACACACACCCACACCCCCCCCCACACCCCCCACACCCCCAACACAGACACCCCACCCCCCCACACACACACCCCCACCCCACCCCCCACCCCCACCCCCACCCCCCCCCCCCCCCACACACACACACACACACACACACACACACACACGTAGTTAGAAAGTTTCCAGTGATATTCAATGGTGCAGATATAGTTAGACTTCCACCCGTGGCAAGTGTTTGTCAGACCGTACCAGTGCTCATGGGTTTTCACCAAAGTGGTAAACGTCTTAGATCTGCATCACTTCGGTCTTTCCCCCCACATTAAGCTGACACGCCGTGCTATAACTGGAATACTGTTAAAGGCGGCGTTAAACCCAACTCACTCACTCACTCACTCACTATTATTAAATGCTTAGAAATGGTACAACGTGGCATATCATCACCTAGAAGGTTCCCAAGCAACGGCCATCCTCGGGGTCCAGGGGGTAGCTTGTACCTCTTCTTGGTGATGAGATAAACGACCACTCCGACGCCTGACCCCACTAGAACAGCCCGGCCGGTGAGACTGGTAGGCAACCATTCCTCCCATCCCTTAAGCTTGATCCAGTCCAGTAGCTGCTCCAGGTGAGGCAGCCTCTGTAGCAACTCCATGTCCTGCGTCTTCTACCTGTAAGGCAGGACATTTAAGAACTGACGTCAGCAATGTTTTGCGTTTATGGAGGTATAAACGAAAAAAAACCCCGAAGAGCACACTGTCGCGTTTTGAATCAACCACAAACTCAAATTAAGTTTTAATAAAGATTTATTCCTTCCCTTAAGTTAACTTTAAACCCCAATAACAATACTTAAATGCAAACTAATTCCAAATTAACTAACACAATTAACTAAACTAGCTGAACTTATTCTACTTCTATTACGAATGTCCTACTACTAACAATACTAATATCTACTACGAATACTAATATCTTACTACTAACAATACAACTATCACGATACTACAATACAAATAGTCCACTTCTAACAATACTAACACAACACTATAGAAATGTTTAATAATAACACAACTAATACACATTAATAACCTCATGGATGTACATATATACAAAAACAAACAACAAAGCCACTCCGCTGTCACTTTCCCATCAGTTAAATACATAAACTCAAGGATTTCTGATGTCACTGATCAGTTCACAAGAGGATACTTCCTCGTAATAGAGAATGGTGATCTTTACACCCAGGCGATGTTTTCCCCATGGGGTTCAGGGCGCCTGTGTTACATGGATGCCACGGCTGTGTTCATCCTATGATATGCAGCGCAACGGAGATACTTCTCTCCTCGCGTAATTTGAGAGGTTCGTCTGTCCTTACTACCGGAGGTACTTCTTTCCTCCTACGTACTTGATTATAAGGATAACCGGCCAGTTCCGGGACACTACAATATAATATAAGCAACTAGAGTCACTTAGGTATGTGTCAATACCTGACAATACATACATCAATGCACCAATACTCCGATTTACAATTTTCTGAGTGGAACGGTTTATACTTTAACCATATGTTGTTTTAGGTTCTTGTTGTTGTTACAGTGGCTTATGGATATTGCAATCAAGATATGTATATAATTACATTTGAAAACAATGCGTAACTTACAATTCTATTCTCAAAAATACAATTCTACATGAAACAAATAAATTTAAAAACTTACGCCAACCAGAGTAGGAATCTTGCACAATGTCAGTCCATCCCTTAAATGAACATACTGATTCTGGCTGACTGCACAAATTATTACCCTCCCCTGCTATTTAAACTGACCCCAAAATACAAGCAAGCTACCCCTGACCTCCCTATTGTTACCCCAGCTATCAGCCGTACTCAGTCACGCTTCTCTGAACCTAACCTGTTCCCATAGTATTACCTGACAGTATCTAAAAACAGCCCGCCAAGCTTAATATACTAATTTAACCATACCATAATACATCTATCTAAAGTACTTACATATAATTAATATATCCACACCGGGGTTTACGGTTACTGCGCCATAAACGCAAAAAAGCATTTGAAATCATAAAATAATCTTGTAAATAAATACGTCGACAACAATAACTTCACGGGCTGCTTTTTTAAATCATTAACACCAAAGCACTGAAGACAACCATACGAAGTCAGTGACATTGTTCAGCGCAAATACACAAGCCCAGTCCATTGTATTATCAGACAGTTAGTCCGTAAGTGGGTCGTGGTCTAATTGGTTAATGCGGACAAAAACGCAACAAAATTTGCATGGTTAATCAACCAAATGCTACGGAATCATATATCTATTACGACATATCCGACTGTAAAGGCACAACTACTTTATCTTTCTATATAAAATGATTTTAAAAGATGCATCCCGTAACAATTTCCTAACGAAATACAGTAAACTACGGTTATAACGAACACGCTTATAACGAACTGACGGATATAACGAACTTACTTTTTTGGTCCCGACTATTTGCTGTAGTTATGCTGTATATATGCTTATAACGAACTACGGTTATATCGAACTAAAGTTAGCAGTCCCTTTGAGTTCGTTATAGGTACATTTTGTTTCTTTTTGCTGACATAGGGACATTTTCGGAATAAAATTCAGATACTGATTACCTGACGCCATGTTATATAAGACAGTAGTTATTTAATATCTATTTGTATCCTGTGCTTCTTTGCATCATATAATATGACCCAGTAACATTTTCAAACATTTCCACAAAAAACATTTTTATTGACGTTTTTATTCCAATTGTCTACACTCATTGTATTTATTAACAGTTAATTCAGTGATTGAGAGTGTGTTGCAAATACTCCCAATGTGCAATCATGTACCTGCGTACTGTCACTGCATTCTGAAAACTTCGATGAAAACTTAGTGTCCGCATGTACACTGAGATTTAACATTGACTATGCAGATCGGATGCGCTGAAACAAAATGTATTCGGGAAGGAAGGTTGTCTGCACTGGACATGCTCTCACACCTAGACAATAAATCACGTACAGAAGGACTAGTACCATCTTATGAGAGCGCACAATCCCCCACCCGTGAGAGGGAATCCGTCAACCTTACGGACAATATTTAACCCCCGACACTCACTCACGTAACTGCTGTTCACATCGAGGCAGATATAGGTCATACCTGTCAACTGTTGTGTAATTTCGATCTGTCAATGTTGTACGTTCCGTTATCAGTACAACCACGATTGAAATAATAGTAATAGCAGAGTGCAGGGAGTGTACAATTGTTCTATTATTGTAGACAGTATCTATATCATAGAGCGCCGGGTCTATCGATGTATTGTGGTATGTGAACTGTTCGTGTCTAAAGAAGCATAGGGAACAGTCCCGAGGGCAGTTATATATAATTAGTTAGACACATGTAAACATTGTGATATTGGGTTCAAAGTCGACGTAACGGCGATATAGTTACCCCTACGTCAGCGCTGCCTGTCGATGCCCTGGTGGTTTTTCAAGTACAAGCCAGCTCAGACCCACAAATACGCCGCTTGAGTGAACACAGTAACAAAAGTTTCCACTATCCCGTGTTTACTAGCACTATGTTAGAATCAATAAACAGTGAGTATTAGACATAAGGACAGAAGCGGTATTAAGGTTAACATTTCCTTATACCTGTATACTTGTGAGGCGCTCAGTTGTATGCTGCCTGTCCTGGCTGTGTAGAGGGTATAAACAATTGGTCGTCGCTATTTCACACTAAAGAAAATGTAGCCACAGAGGGTCTACAGGGTTCATCTACACATCGTAGAGGGTGTCAATAGGTGTACCCTTTCGTCGTATAAATATATTTCACTTGTTTCATTATCATATTTGTACATAATCCTCGCCTTTGGTGATTATTTATTCAAATTCGAGACTTAAAATGTAATTTTTTTAAATTGTCGAACAGTTAAGTCAATCATTAATTAATGGGTTCATATTTTATCCTTCAGAAACAAAATATTAAGTAAGATGCAATACATTCCTTTATTATGCCTCAAAGTGAGATTGACCAATCAGATTGCAGAACTACTGACCCACACATGAGCCCGTATACTGCAAGTAAAAATCCAAGATGGTTGTTACTGTCCTAATATGAGACCGCATACCGTCAGTAACAGCCATTTTGAATTTTCCAACACCCACCTCACATATTTCACATGGAAATTCTGGTACAGAAATTCGTTATTCGACACTGTTTTGTGTTTTAATATCATTAATTGTGAAGTGGAAAGACATTATTAATTAATGAAACCACGTTCGTGATTTTATTTATAAAAACTATAGAGAAAAAAGCTTACAACGGAGGTCACTGAGTTACAAATAGCATCGTCATAGAACATACTATTGGACGACGTCACAAACAAGAAACGTGACACCAATGACGTCACATAACAATAGACTAGATAGCAGCCCGCCGTTAGGGGAAAGCGGATTGATATCAAGTTACAGTGTCCCGTAGATTTCTGTTAACATGCGGGCATTTTTATGATAATTCTGTCTTTTTTATCTATAGTACTTTAAACGTTCACATTTAGGGTATTATATATTCCATTGTTAACGTTTATGTTGACATTAAAGCGTTGTAACGGAAAAATGTACTGGTCCTCTCGTTTATACCGGTTGTAAATGTCAACTTTTCATTTTGACATGACATGTGCGACAAAGATACCAAATAGTGTAAACTTTTCGGCATAATAAATTCGTTATGGTGTCTTTAGTTGCCGTATACGGTGTCATATTAGGTTAGCAGGAAAATATTGGGCAAGGCTCCAGCTATAAACAGCGTCCTACAAACAGTTGGGTCTGTACGAGACAATCCAGTGATTGATATTATGAGCAACGCCTCACGTCGTTGGGTTACGATGACACCCAGTTAATCATTTAGTGACCCTCTTACTATCAGTATCGGCTACTGGGGACATATTCAACCAAGGAATGACCACGGAGAAAAGTATCGGCTACTAGGGACATATTCAACCCAGGAATGATCACGGAGAAAAGTATCGGCTACTGGGGACATATTCAACCCAGGAATGACCACGGAGAAAAGTATCAGCTACTGGGGACATATTCAACCCAGGAATGACCACGGAGAAAAGTATCGGCTACTGGGGACATATTCAACCCAGGAAGGACCACGGAGAAAAGTATCGGCTACTGGGGACATATTCAACCCAGGAATGACCACGGAGAAAAGTATCGGCTACAAGGGACATATTCAACCCAGGAATGACCACGGAGAAAAGTATCGGCTACTGGGGACATATTCAACCCAGGAATGACCACGGAGAAAACACGGCTACTAGGGACATATTCAACCCAGGAATGACCACGGAGAAAAGTATCAGCTACTAGGGACATATTCAACCCAGGAATGACCATGGAGAAAAGTATCGGCTACTAGGGACATATTCAACCCAGGAATGACCACGGAGAAAAGTATCGGCTACTGGGGACATATTCAACCCAGGAATGACCACGGAGAAAAGTATCGGCTACAAGGGACATATTCAACCAAGGAATGACCACGGAGAAAAGTATCGGCTACTAGGGCCATATTCAACCAAGGAATGACCACGGAGAAAAGTATCGGCTACTAGGGACATATTCAACCCAGGAATGAGCACAGAGAAAAGATTTGCTTCATACAATATAAACATAAAATGTCAATGCAAGAGAATAACCATTACAGATTATTCACCGAAACAGATTCCATTAGGCGTACAGAGTTTTATACTCTTAAAAAGCTTCCTTGGTAAACAATCCGTCATTCTATCGCGCCTTTATCGCCACACAGATTTTGTAATGTGTTTCCTCACAAATGGCATCTGTACAATATGAGCATTCCAAAGGCTTTTGAAAGTCCCCAATTGGCATGTAATATCTCGATTTCTCTGTTAAATCTACCTACCCCTGTGTGCTTCTTTCTACAATTTGTTCGTGTCATGTTGAGACGTCAAACAGAAAATGACAATACCAGCGACAAGAACTGCTTTCAAATGTGTTTATTGTATCATTATGTCAAGGAGTAGGTAATGTTGGTGCTGCGTCGATGGTCAGCAGCGTCTCAGATATACACCCCTGTGAATTAGAAACATCAGTTGAATAAAACAGTGAAAATGCGCGAACACAATGAACATATTATACAGGAAATACGGCCAACTTTCTCCCCACAAGACCCTAAATGGAAACATATTTGCATTATCTCTCTCTATATGAACATCTAGGTCACAATTTATTGACTTGTGTGTATCTGATTTATTCAAGATGCAAAACCAGACGAAATTCCAGATATCTTCACACATCCAAAGATATATATTAATAATTTCAATAATGTTTGCGTTTATGGACGTATAAACGTAAACAGCTTTGTGTACACTGTAAATCTGTCAACTCTAATAACTTCACAGACTGCTTATTGAATCATCAACACAAAAAAAGAATTGTAGAAAATAATACGAAATCAGTGTCATCGTTCAGCTCAATAATGCAACACCTCAAGTTCCTCCCATATTGTCAGCCAATCAGGAAACAATAGTCCGTTAGCGGTTTATGGAAACATAAAGCAAAACAAACTGTTTGGTTGGCCAAACAAACCCCAAGGAATCGCTTTCAGTGTTTTTTTATCTCTGGATAAATACTGAATTCCAAGGACCTTTATGCTCAGTTCGTTAAAATGAACTCCAGGGACCTTTATAATCAGTTCGTCATACTGTGAGTGAGTGAGTACGGTTTTACGCCGCTTTTAGCAATATTCCAGCAATATCACGGCGGGGACACCAGAAATGGGCTTCACATATTGTACCTTTGTCGAGAATCGAGCCCGGGTCTTCGGCGTGACGAGCGAACGCTTAAACCACTAGGCTACCCGACCGCCCTCGTCATAATGAATTCCAGGGACCATTATAATCAGCTCGTCATAATGAATTCCAGGGGCCATTATAATCAGCTCGTCATAATGAATTCCAGGGGCCATTATAATCAGCTCGTCATAATGAATTCCAGGGACCATTATAATCAGCTCGTCATAATGAATGCCAGGGACCATTATAATCAGCTCGTCATAATGAATTCCAGTGACCATTATAATCAGCTCGTCATAATGAATGCCAGGGACCATTATAATCAGCTCGTCATAATGAATTCCAGGGGCCATTATAATCAGCTCGTCATATTGAGTGTCAGGGAACTTTATAATCAGCTCGTCATAATGAATTCCAGGGACCATTATATTCAGCTCGTCATAATGAATTCCAGGGATCTTTCTAATCAGTTCGTTATAATGAACTCCAGGGATCTTTCTAATCAGTTCGTTATAATGAACTCCAGGGATCTTTCTAATCAGTTCGTTATTATGAACTCCAGGGATCTTTATAATCAGTTCGTTATAATGAACTCCAGGGACCATTATAATCAGTTCGTCATGAAGAATTCCAGGGGCCATTATAATCAGCTCGTCATAATGAATTCCAGGGACCATTATAATCAGCTCGTCATAATGAATGCCAGGGAACTTTATAATCAGCTCGTCATAATGAATTCCAAGTGCCATTATAATCAGTTCGTTATAATGAACTCCAGGGATCTTTCTAATCAGTTCGTTATAATGAACTCCAGGGATCTTTCTAATCAGTTCGTTATTATGAACTCCAGGGATCTCTATAATCAGTTCGTTATAATGAACTCCAGGGACCATTATAATCAGTTCGTCATGAAGAATTCCAGGGGCCATTATAATCAGCTCGTCATAATGAATTCCAGGGGCCATTATAATCAGCTCGTCATAATGAATTCCAGGGACCATTATTATCAGCTCGTCATAATGAATTCCAGGGACCATTATTATCAGCTCGTCATAATGAATTCCAGGGACCATTATAATCAGCTCGTCATAATGAATTCCAGGGAACTTTATAATCAGCTCGTCATATTGAATGCCAGGGAACTTTATAATCAGCTCGTCATAATGAATTCCAAGTGCCATTATAATCAGTTTGTTATAATGAACTCCAGGGATCTTTCTAATCAGTTCGTTATAATGAACTCCAGGGATCTTTCTAATCAGTTCGTTATTATGAACTCCAGGGATCTTTATAATCAGTTCGTTATAATGAACTCCAGGGACCATTATAATCAGCTCGTCATGAAGAATTCCAGGGGCCATTATAATCAGCTCGTCATAATGAATTCCAGGGGCCATTATAATCAGCTCGTCATAATGAATTCCAGGGACCATTATTATCAGCTCATCATAATGAATTCCAGGGGCCATTATAATCAGCTCGTCATAATGAATTCCAGGGACCATTATAATCAGCTCGTCATTATGAATTCCAGGGAACTTTATAATCAGCTCGTCATATTGAATGCCAGGGAACTTTATAATCAGCTCGTCATAATGAATTCCAAGTCCCATTATAATCAGTTCGTTATAATGAACTCCAGGGATCTTTCTAATCACTTCGTTACAATGAACTCCAGTTATCTTTCTAATCAGTTCGTTATAATGAACTCCAGGGATCTTTATAATCAGTTCGTTACAATGCACCCCAGCAACCTTTATAATAAGTTTGTTATAAGCCGCAATCAACAATAGTAAAAGTTTTCGTGGCAAAATGTAAATAATTAAGCTTGGACAGGCAAGAAATACTCGCCATCGGGCTGCAGCGACACACACTTGTCCAGGACATTGAGAACATTCGAACCTCAACACTCGGTCCTCACGGCAAACATGAAGATGTCAAAATGTGAAAGGCTTTTTCCCTGTGGTTTCATCTTTATACTAAAATGTCAGTCCTACGTGATCTGGCCTAATGAGGAACACTTTATTCTGCTGCTAACTCGGTTGGTCATCAGAATGCTTAACAAGCAGTGCTGGCCGTGAGCCCATGATCTTGATCATAACGTATTCACTCACCCAAACGTCCATGCATGCACACCCAGCTCACCATCAATGGCAGGTACAGTGTCCAGTGGACTCATCAGGGCGTCTGGAGCAGTGGTAGCCGTTGTGGCAGTTGTCATGGCACGGGTCGCAGTCACGGTCGCTGTGACAAGTGCCACTACATTGGGCATCAGCTGTGACATAAAGAGGCGCATGTCTTTGATGGTATGTTTGGTCTATAGCTATGGATTGTTGTGTTTGTAAGTGTTTTCATGTCCTAACGTTATCAAAGTATCTTTAAACTTACGTCAACTTTCATCCGTTAACATAAACTCGCATATGTTATAAAGTAATCTTGGGATACATTATTCTGGGCTCCAGTGACATAGTTCCCAAGACAGAGATTTCTAGCCAAGTGTGTTTCCATTTCGTAAATTGTATTAATTACGCGAACCTAATGCCTTTCTTACAATAACCAGTGTTGTTCTGTGCAATATATCTTGGCGTTATGTCAGAAGCGGCGTATGAATACAGCGATTGAGTGAACCGCCAATGTATCATGTACCTTGGAAACCCCCTATCTACATCAATATTGGGAAGTTTGGTTGATGTATGGCGATTAAAAGTAGTTCCTATTTGGGGAACCATTTGCATATTTATCGGATCGTTAAACTGATAATCGCGTCTATAACACTTTCCAATACACGATAACGATAAATATCGTAGTAGCTACACAAGCTTTTTGTGTGTTAAAAGCTGGATATTAATTATATAGGTGTTTATTTCATGGTGCAAACAATATGGATGACCTCACTTTATGGCTATATTTGAGGGCAAACTGTTTAGAACAATTTATCTCATTCACCTATCGTATAAACATGTTGATAAACATCCTGAAGACAATCAATCACCTTTGTTTATTAAAAGTAAACTACTCACCAACAAAGGCTGCTCCCATGAGCAGGACAGAGACGAGGAGAAGGAGACACACAGCCTTCATGGTGGATGAATGAATGTATAGCTTCAAAGCGGGCTCTTTTATGCACCTGTCGTTTGTCATAACATGTCTTATCTTTGTGGACCTTGTATGTAGTCTTTGGTATAATGAGACATAGTTTGAATTATCGACAGGTATCTATTATGCAGTGTGGCATTTGAAAGCTCACGCCTTGACATTTCTGCTTAATGACGTCTTCAGTATGGCGTAGTTGCCAATAGCAGACAAACGACTAAACAAATCTTGTTATTCATATTTCTAGTACGTTAAGAGTTAACTACCAATGCAAATGTTTTTTATAAAACAATCAAGTACAAATATCTTATCAATGTTGGATACAACAAATAACAAAACTCAAATAACAAATTTTCTCTGTACAGGTAAGGGGGCACGGGTGGCCAAGTCGTCTAAGGCGCCGCGATTCGCTGGGCAGAGTTGCGTTCTTTGAGCAGGCCAGAAACCTTTGATTGTGGGTTCGAATCCCGGTTCGCCCCGATTATGTTACTAGGTTTGTCAGCACCATACCCGTGCTCGTGGGTTTCATCGAAGTGGTAAACGTCTGAGGCCTGCATCACTTCGGGCTTTCCTCCCACATTAAGCTGACACGCCGTGATATAACTGGAATACTGTTAAAAGCGGCGTTAAACCCAACTCACTCACTCACACACTCATTGTAAGGTAAACATGTACTTCAACTTATGGGCAGACTTTCAATATGTCAGTTTGTGCTGTGAAAATATGTTTTTCCTGTTTCGTTTGTATTACGAGCGGTGGAGTAGCCTAGTGGTTAAAGCGTTCGCCCGTCACGCCGAAGACCCGGGTTCGATTCCCGACATGGGTACAATGTGTGAAGCCCATTTCGGGTGTCCCCCGCCGTCATATTGCTGGAATATTGCTGAAAAACGTAAAACCTTATCACTTAATCCCTCCCTTACTCTATTTTTATGATGATGCTTGACAGAACATATTCAAATCTAAGATGTGAAAAGACAGCAATGATCTTTAATATTATGTGGTAGAAATTACGTTTGGAGGCAGGAAGTTCATGATCCTAAACGTTGAATGGCCAAGATCGAAATGACTGACAGAGCATCTTTGCATCATGGCTATGCCGCGATTTCTTGTCTACCAAAGTTGTCGTAATACTCGCCCGTTTCGACAAATAACTGTTGCTTTTTTCCATATGACTTGACTTGAGAGTCACGTGTGATTGATCAAGTCAAGTGAGAGTGTAAATGAATAACCCCAACCGTTTCATATTTGTCACAAAAGGAGATTTCAAAGGTGTGGCCACGACATTTAAACGTGAGTCGACGCCATGTTGTAAACAAATTGTGTCAAGGTTGCTTCCAAATGTGGTCCTATCTCCAGTTTCTGTCGATGAGACACGCCATACAATGATAATACAATCAATGAAAACATTAACTTACACGTAACTTCTTAAATGGTGACTACTTTACCTTTTCTCAATTGATTTTATTGCTCATGGTTACGATGTGATGTAAACTTTTGTTTCATTATGTTGTTCCTTTCCTTGAACAGGTGACCTCGTGTGTTACGTTTCTGGCGAATCTAGTAACTATAGGACTCTTGTTCGGATAAGGAACGCAACTGCTTACACTGTTTGACTGTTTGTAAGGATGGTGTCGGTTAAGGCTTTGAAGTGAATGGTATCCATGATGACAGTTGCCTTGCCTTTGTCTGCTGGGGTGATGATGACAGTGTTGTCGCATTTTACGTTATTCAGGATATCCTTTCATGATGCGTGAGGTTGGATTTCTGGGATGTGGCTTTGTTCAGGATGCTGACAATCTGGTGTCGCGGGAAGTCAACATAGCCATATAAGACATTGTCAAAGCCCGTCACCTAATCTGCTCCAGATACACTGTCCGTTACAATGCGGTCAAGTATCTAGCCCGCCTCTTCGCACCACTTGGAAAGACTGCCAAGTCATTTGTGGCAGATTCGTCTGAATTCTGCTAGAAGATCCCCCAGTCAGGCACCTTAATCCGCTATGATAGGTGTCGACCTGTTCACCAAAGTAGTCCGGGACGAGGACACTGGTATATAAATCCAGCTTATACACTCCTGCATCAGTACCACATACTTCACCTGGAGAGATAACATCGTTTAGCAAACCCACGGCTCACCCAAGGTATCCCAACAAGCACCCTTAATCGCCGGGATCTTTACGGCCCACCTGGAAAAAAGCCCTAGAAACGTCCCCTAAGACCCCCCTCTGCTGGTTCCGCAAAATAGAAGACACCTTTGTCATCCTGCATCCCAACAATGACCCGAAAACCTTCTGGACCACTGAACTAAACCATCTTTAACAAGTCTTCACACAGTACAGCCACTACCCCGAATAGCTATGACTACAGACAATACAGAACATAATTGGAGAAAACCAAGAAATCTCCCCGTCAACAATATGCACCCGCTGTGATCAACCTCCCCTACTTTTGAACTGTTAGCCACAAAATCCAGAGACTCTTCAAGAAACAGGCCAACACTGATGTAGTTTTCAAGAGAAGTAACAGCATCCAGAATACCATTAAAGGCACAGGAAAACGACCATCCAGCCAAAAGCAAGAACCATCAGGGGCAGTGTACCACATTCCGTGTAAGTGTAGACATGATTACATAGGCGAAACATCAAGACCCCTCAACACCCGAACTAAAGAACATCAAAGCTGACTCCAAAGTTGACTCTCAGTCAGCTCTATCAGACCATATCTGCGACAACCCAAGCCACAGCATCCAGTGGGATAAAAGCTCTCACCACCAACCTCAAAGACTTCAAACTCAGAAAACTACAAGAAGCATCAACATCAAACGATTCCAACCGTGATCAAGGTTATTACACACTCCCTGTGTACCATCACCTCATCAAAGACCCTAGTCAGTCTTAATCCTTTTGTTTTTACTCCTGGCTTCATCTGGGAAGATGTTTACCTGTTTGTGTACAGGCATCTCCACTCCAGTGTAACTACATCCCAAACTACGTTACTGTAACACTGCCTCATACCTGTATATATGCCTGTCAACCACACTCTGTACATCGCTGGCTTGATAACGGTGCTTGAAGCTACACTGAAACGTCGCTCCTAATTATAATACAGAAATAATAAAGAAGTTGTCCATCCATATGTCTTATCCTTAATTTGTTTCATGTTTGACAATAGAAAACAATAAGTCGAAACCAAGTTAACATTAAGAGTCTTGTGTAAGAAGTGAAAATATGTACATACACAGTCAGCTAGAAATAACGTTCTGCAAACTACTAGCAGAAACCAATAGCAGAATATTACCACACGAATTTCGTGTATTTTGAATAATTATTTAGCAATGGAAGACAATGGTACAGACGAGGAAACGAACGCGTGACGCGATGGTACGACGGTAGGAATCGTGCAACCTCATCATCGCATCGTACCATCGTATCACCGCTTCATGCCTTCGTACTATAACCCTTGTATGAGTCACGCGATGATTCGAAGATGCGAAAAGGCAGAAAACTGCCACCAAATATATGTCCAGATACTCGTATCTTCCGCATAAATGTCATGCTCGCATTAATTTTGTGATTTACTGTGGATAGGTGGGTAGGTGGGTGGGTAGGTAGGTAGGTAGGTAGGTAGGTAGGTAGGTAGGTAGGTAGGAAGGTAATCAAACCGTAGTAAGGATATAGACACACACACAGTGTGACAGATTGAACGGAAAATGGAGGAGAGATCGAGGAACAACAAGCCCTATTTCTGTGCAGTCAAAGCATGTCAAAGCTGCTATTTACAAACACCACATCCATATATACACCAGCTCGTCTCTGCCCATGACACGTGTTAGTTCCTACTGCTCTAACCAAACCTGTTTTCGTGGCAGGAAGTTCAAAAGGACAAAAGTTTCATTTCAAAATCGGTCACTGAGAAAGATGTTTCATTGCTTCCAGAAATGTTTATATTCTTATCACTCTATAAGCTTCCTTAACTGTGGTATTCAAGAGAACTGTTTTTACAACTTAAGTTACAGGTATGTTATCTCGGCGTCATATTTGTGGGATTATTTTCGCAAAATCTTGTGTCATTTAATATTAGTAATCAGTGGCATAGACAGCATAAACCTGCATAGAATAGAAAATAACATTTAAACTGAAAGTCATAAAATCGATTGAAAATTTGTAGAATATGGATCCAAAGACAAAATGTTCATCCCAACAACACAAACGGTAACGATTTATGGGAAAAGATCCTTCACATATGCAGCTACTACATTGTTAAATGATATACCACGGAAATATATAACAATCCCCAAACTTATCATCTTTAAATATTAAAAACATTATTTTTTAGATTTAGGCTTTCCCTGACACTGTTTCTTGACTCTGACTAGCCCAACAAGCGAACGGAGCATATTTAACTGTGTGAAATATAAGCTATATAAGTGAATATATTATTATTATTTACAGATTAAAATAAAAATGCAGCCAAGAGGGTTTGGGTGGTCCTGGCACAGTCAGGCTGGTTAGGTTCATCATCAGCTCAGGGCCCTTGCCCCCTCTACACGCAGCACAGACAGCTAATGGGCATTCTTCCAGGAAGCGCTGCCAAGTCAAACCCACTCAGACCTTTTCTGACAATGTGAAAACACCAGAAACCTGCAGCCTTCTGAATTACCCAGATTGTCAGAAGGGCTGTGTTCCTGGCTGCAAACCAGGTTACTCTCCCAATGTCAGCCACCAGATTGGGAGGTACCAAACGTAAGGCACCGAGAACAATGGGGAGTCGGATAACTTGGTACTTGGGATGCAAGTGTGACATTTCGAAAGCGAGGTCCGCATATTTGCCATGTTTTTTATCAATCTTGTCAATCACATTAGCGTCAGAAAATTCAATGACATAAATGATTCGATTTGATTTATCAAAAAGGACAAGATCATTTTTGTTGGCCTGTATATGGGCCTATTCCAAAGGACGCCCTCTACATATTCCGGGTCGTACCATGGATGGACCTCTGTGTCAAA